TTAGCTAATATCAATCCCTGAAACAAGTCACATTTAAAACATACAAGTCTTCGCCAAATTAACTAACATATTTTTGTTTATTTACTGAAGTGTTTCAGTCTTGGAGCCGAAGTAAAGTTGAAATGAAAATTTAGAATGGAACTATCATCAGTGGTGAATGTAGTCAACCACTGAAACAGGTACTGAGGATTCTACAGAACAGATTATTCACAGATAGTAAGTATATTACGGCTAGGACGTTTATCTATGTAACTTAATATAGCATAACATCTTTATAGAAGTCGAAATTTGACATAAGTAATTAAACTCTAAGAAACTAGTACACTTTATAATATTCAGCAATCAGAAATCATCAAGTATTTGAGAATGTAAAAGAATAGGTTACTTATGACCGACCAATCAATCAGTTTTAGACTTTTTGTCAGGTTTCTCATATTTCCTCTTCTTCCACACTTTCTTATGTAGTTGCTAGGTTCTCCACAAATTTCAGGACCTCAGCTCTAATGTTATTCTTCACTTGTTTGTTTCTGTATATTCAGGTTGTCTCTAGGGTTTTCAGCTTTCTTTCGGCAGTTTCTGACCACCGTCCCCTTGTTTTCCTTTTCTTCGGTTTTGCCCAAGCTGTCTAAAAAGGCCCACTTTTTATCCTGCTGCTTGTTGGAGTACAGCATTTCCTGGTACCTTGAAATCGATTTTTTTATAATCCCTTTCCAGTTGCTCTTCATATTTGTTTCTTCTTCTAAATGACCTTGTGAACCTTCAAACTTATTGATGGCAGCTATCGAAAACTATCTGAGCCTGTTGACATCTCGAAGGAAAGCTGTATTAAACTAGTGAAGTGATGTTTGTTTTAATAGCCCAATGCTGTTCTGGTTTCAATTTTAGCTTGACCATTGTCAAGTGATGGTCTCAAACTATATTGTCTCCTCTTTTCGTTCATGTCTTCCGTGAACCTTAAGAACTCAGTGCCTACTCATATGTGATTAATCTTGCGTTTGTCTTTTATCAGAATGGTCAGGTCTTTTTTCGGGGATCTATTTAGGATGGACTAGAGTCTCTCATAAAACTGGTCTTAATCATTTCCTTTCCTCGCATCGTTAAGTGTGTAACACTGGATGATATTCATCATAACTACTTCCTGGTCTTTGTGAAGAATCGCATTCGTGATGCTGGTGAAATGGGTTTCCCACGTAGGACATTTTATTCTTCATGATCAGAATAGAATTATAGCCCTCCTGAAGTTAGTCTTTTTGTCTAGATGGTGTCCATGAGGTCTCACTTCTTTCTATCTCATTCAGGCTGTATCTTCTCTTTTCCACCGCTATCTGAAACATCTTCACATTCTCTAACATCATTTGAACGTTCTAAATACTTATATTAACCATTGTATTGACCTTGTAGCTTTCAAAGAATTTCGACTTACACGAATCTAAGGCTTCGTATCACTTAATGTTGATTCATCGTTTATCACTAAAAATGGACTAGACATCAACCACAAAAATAAATATATAAGATCTATCAAATTATAAATATATTCGTATGATCTTATACAGTTTGCATAGGACAAGGGGAGTTATGACTAAGGGTAATAAATAGACACGGTTAGCTTCATTGGACCTAAATAACATTCCGTAACCAGGAACTGTCAAGTATTTGGTGTAAAAATTTGAAAGACAGAAAGTGTGATATTATTCAAGCAAAAGAGATAAGTCATCATAATGAAGAGAGTATAAGTCAGAATATTTGCATTTGCTTATGACACAAAATTGTGACTTCTATTTAAAATGCTAGTTGTCAAGGTCAGTCTTTAGTAGAAACAGGTCGGTACAGGGGGACTACACTGATCTTAATATCAGAGGAATCAGACGATGTATCATTTTGAACTATGAAAATAAGTAGACTGTACTAGACATCTGTATCTAATAGGATTTATTGTTTGATAAAGAGAACGACCAAATACCTTTGAAAATTTAAGAATCACGTAAGTACTTCGTTGATAGGATTGCATGAAATGCATAACCTACTATTTCAGTGTCTAGGTGGTTTTGGTTGAAGGATGTCTGGGTTCAGAGTAAGGAAAAGTTGTGAGGGTACTACCAACTTTATTTTAAAGCTTCAGATTTCATTTCTCTTCTGTTCAGCTTATGTTGTGTATAATTTCAACTACTTAATAATAGTCAGTAGTTAATGTTTTGTTCAATCATGTTTAGGGCATGCACATGGTAACTATTGATATTTCCTTTCCATTAAGAACTGAGTGCAGAATTACGGTGATTCTTTTGTCAATTATTCATCGTCTTTCAAAACTATGAGCGCTATTAATTAATCTAGCATTTGGTATGTGCTTTCAAATATTGTCACGGATACCAAAAACGTTATATTTAATACTGTGCAGCTGTTATCGTTTCGATTTCTTGAAGCATTGAGAAACACTATAAGGGACGCAGTCATATCATTGGCGAAGGAAATATTGGAAAGAAGAGAACCATAACAGTCACTGACAGAGTCAATTTACAAGTTTCAGTTTCTAATATAACTGTCTAGTTCCAGTTATAACTCAGTTGTCAGTTTACCGTACCCCGAATCCTGTTTCCTCAGTTATAAATATACTACTGCTTTTATTTATCAAGTCACTATTACAACAAACGACACGTATACTGGTGTAAGAACATGACAATTTCAGTCACAGAAGTAAAATCAATCCTTCAGTTCAATGAAGGTATATTCATTCAATCTCATTTGATGATCATCAGTGCATTGAAGGAACACGTACTCAAACAATCAAGTTCGAAATCGCACTTAAAAATTATAGACATATTTAACGAAGTAACTGATACAGTTCCTGATGTAATAAGGAATAGTTTTTTGATTGAAGAAGAGGTTAACGTATTCTTTAGTACTGTTGACTCTGAGCAATGTTCAAATGCTCTTTTATTAGATTCTTACCATTTTAATTCTCCAGTCACCTCTGGTGAAATTTAAAACCATTGTTAGATCAATGTTCCAAATGATCAAATTTTAATGCTGTTATATCAGATGCTAACTATCTTAATGATTCATTAGTTTCGAATGAAGTTACACTCTGATCACATTTCAGATGTCATTGTAGCAGATGTTGTGTGCTCTCACACCTCATGTATGTTACATAGAATCCCTCTTCAATGCTATGATAAATCAATTGGCATAACAAGTGTTTGAGAAGTAATTGCGAAACCAGAATGTTCAGGGGTCACAAAAGGATCCTTCAATCTCTATGTATACCCTGTAGTGTCAGTTATTATGGCAAGCCCATATACCTTATTCTAACTTCCGGACATCCTATTCTATTCACTTTACTTGAGCCATATTTTGACCTTGTCAATTATTCGCTTATTAGCCTTGACTGTTTTCACATGAGCGTATATGTGTGTACACTTCATATCCCATGATTCATCACATGTCTGTAGTTCATTTTGTCTGCCTATAAATACTGAGTAACACTTAATTGAAAGGGAGTTGGCTTCCCAGCCATCTTCCATATGTGTGATTTTTGCTTTGCTGTGCTTCATTCGCTCCATGTACGAAATATATGTATTCACAAATCCATTCTCGTTATTCGACTTATTTAATTTCGTTATTGACTAACGCGATTCAAGTCGACGATGATAAACGAGAATAAGGGATAACAATCATTCGTACAATCTAAATGGAGTCAGATCAACGGGTCTCCACAACCCACACACCACGACTCACATATATAATGGTGCTCGTCAGTAATAAAACAGCTCAGGTCAATAAAGTCACATTGTTTGTAACGTGGGTACATGAAGATTCAACACTGTTTCGTGGGGGAGGGAGAATTAGATATGCATTGAACAAAGGAGAAAAGCATAAAAATCAGAAGGTTGAACAGATTGTTTTTCAAAAGAAGCTGGAACACGATCACCTAACCAGTCGGAAATCTCAGAGAGTACGAAAATATATTCACGCGTAATTAATTGGAAAAGAAGGGGAGGTGATAGAACGGATAGAAAAGTAAAAATTATATTCTTTAAGCCCAACGTGTTTTTTGTTCAACAGTACCTCTGTCTTTTTTAATTCAATGTGATGTTACACATTATATCTTATCATGCTGAGCCATCCTTTCCTAATGATAATTCCCCTATCTATCTTTTGATGAATATTTGAGCTATTAATAAAATCAAACGGTTATTAAACTCTCCTTGTTTTTAAAAGGAAGGAGCTGGAAAGGATTGCCCAGGACAGGGTTGGATGGCGAATGCTGGTGAGCGGCCTATGCTCCTTCACGAGGGGTAACAGGCGTAAGTAAGTAAGTGTTTTTAAAAGAACATTTTTTATTACCTTTGTTTATTTAACCTCACTGTCATCATATCTGACAGACGTTTATTATCAGTATTATTATCATCCTGTAAAAATAAGTATATATATATATATTTACAATTGTACAGCTTTGAAAATGAATTCACTGAAAAGAGAAGTCTTCTCTGAACCAAATTTTCTTATTTCGAAAATATCATTGACATTTATCCTAGTCCAACTAGTTCATAACACGACACTGAACAGTGAATGAAACAAAGGAACAAATTAATCGACAGTGTAGTGAAGGAGAACACGAGTGGGTGCAATTGAATGTTATTGAATATAAAATTACAGAATATCTTACTAAAATCTGAGAACTATATAGTAAATACTTGATTTGCAAAATATCAATCAATTGTCTGAAAGTTAATGGTTCCTTTTGTAAATATCCGTCTTCTACATAAAGTATATTCTATTTTTGACTCTAGTTTTATACTACTTATATCGATATAAGTAGCTTACATTACAAAAGTATTGAGTCTTTCATTAGTATTAGTAGAAAAGTTGAAGTTTTTGATAAAATATAAAAGAGCAAAGGTCAAAATTGTCAATAAACTAAATAAACAAACAACCAAGTTTATGGTTATAACAAATAGACAGTACCTGTTTATATCATCTTCTCATATAGGTTGGAATATTCATTACACAGTAAATTCCCAAACTGTTTCAGAATTACATTGATGTTTATTACAATGATTTGTTTGTTTATTTATTTTATGTAAATTATTATTTACTAATTGAACTTTAATTTTACAAGATAGAGAGTTTGTCCATTGTGTTAAACATTCAAACAAAACACGATGATTCGGTATTAATGACCAATTGATACCAAGGCAACCAATTGAAGTTGGTGGTAATGAACATGAATTTCGATTAAATTGTTGTTTATTTAAAAAATTAATAAATTGAGATCGTGCATGATTAGTAACTAAGATAGTACAATGATATAATGTAGATAAACGTTGTAGTTCAGATATAATAAGAGCAAGTTGTGATATACCTTTAATAATAATATAAACAAATTGATTTAAAGTACATTGTAATGTTAATAATAATGATAATGAAAAACAATCAATTAAATAAACCGGATACACTTTCTCTATCACATTAAATCCTATTTTAAAATGTGCTGAATCCCGATGAAGATAATGAGTGGTAACAACTGTTGGGATGAATGTATGGACCAATACTATACATATATTTCTTATTGTATGATTGTTAAGTAACTGAACTATTCATATTCATGTTCCTCTTATTATGAGCTTTATTTTGACCCATAGACTATCATTATACGGTTTACTGTTCTTGAGTTAAGCCCAGTCTATTCATTACAGTGTTCCACACTTACAGCCACTTTTGGCTAAATCTTGTATAAATGTTATTTTCTATTTTATAGTGATCTGTTCGGTTTGTATATAAACCAAGTATGTTTGAAATTAATGATTCATATCGCGGAGATTGAGATTGATGTTCTGAACTAAACAGGCGGGACTAGACAGAAAGTAGAACCGATAAGGACTCTAGACTGCTCATACTTGTTTTTGTGAATCATTGATTCGGTCGATAAGTCACTGTTTTGTAATTGGAGGTATCATTAGGTTATATATCAATAAAGCATAAGGCTACAAGTTGTAACAAAATGTGTCTTTTAAAATGAATCAAGAGTTAGTCACTAGTTTATAGATATTTAGTTTCAAAACAAGGTTGAAAATAGGTAAGTATTGAAATATCTTTTTTTGTGAAAAGTCAGTGGATATTGTTCGGTACATAAGTATCTGATAAACATGAAAAAATTACGCTTAATTTGTGGCTGATGGAGAAAGTTCAAATTTAGTTGGGATACCATAAAATACAGCGTTCCATACACATGTGAATTATTAGGTTTTTTTAAAACTCCAACAGCTTTATTTTTTACGCGTGTTACTCCTCGTGGAGGAGCATAGACCACCCACCAGCACTTTCCATCCAATCCTATCCTTAGCAATCCTTTCCAGTTATCATTCATCCTTTCCATACCTGCTTCTATTTCCCGACGTAATATGTTCTTTGACCTTCCTCTTTTCTGCTTCCCTTCAGGATTCTGTATTAGGGCTTACCTCGTGATGTAGTTTACTGATTTCCGTGATGTACGTCCTATCCACTTCCATCTTCTTTTCCTAATTTTCTATTCAGCGGGAAGCTTATTTGTTCTCTTCCACAGTAGGCTACTGCTGATGGTGTTGAGCCAACGAAGATTGAGTATCTTACGTAGACGATCGCTTATAAATACTTGCACCTTCTTGATGATGGTTGTAGTAGTTCTCCAAGTTTCAGCTCCGTGCAGTAGAACTGCCTTGATGTTCGTATTGAAGATTCTCACTATGATATTGGTTGAAAGTTGTTTTGAGTTCCATATGTTATTAAATTGTAGGAATGCGGCCCTTGCTTTGCCGATTCTGCATCTGATCCTCCTTGTTCATCGATGATGCTTCCTAGGTACGTGAAGGATTCCATATCTTCCAGAGCTTCGCCATCAAGCGTGATTGGGTTGGTGTTCTCCGTGTTGTATTTGAGGACCTTCGTTTTCCCCTTGTGTATGTTGTGGTTTACTGATGCAGAGACTTCTGCTAAACTGGCTATCTTTATCTGCATTTGTTCGTGTGCATGCGATAGGAGGGATAGGTCATTTGTGAAGTCCAAATCGTCTAATTGGTATTGAGCTGTCCATTGTATGCCGTGTTTTCCCTCAGATGTCAATGTCTTCATAATCCAGTCGACCACCAGAAGAAATAGGAAGGGGGACAGTAGACAACCTTGTCTGACTCCGGTTATTGATTGGAATGTATCTGTCATATTAAATATGGACGAAACAGTTACGTTAAACAGTAAGTGAAGTAAACAATATAGCAATTGGATGTGTCTGGGAGAACCAGAAAATTCCGCGAAAAAAAGTTTAAAAAAGGCCCTGAAAAACACTGAGAAACATTTTATCTAATCAGCATTCACTAGAAGTTTTGCCAGAAATATCTAGAAAGTGAAAAGTTACATATCGAGTTTTTGATTGATTGATTGATTACTTATACTGCGTAGCGTTCCCGAATTTTTCAGAAACACGAAGCCATTTAAAATACTACAAAAACACTAGATTTCCTGAACATAAAGAAACTTTGGAGTAAACCAATCCCTCCATGTTTCGCGCCTTTTCTCTCGTGTTCAAGTTGCTGTGTAGATATAGCCTGGGGGTTACTAGGAAAGCTAAGGAACCGAATTTAGCGTTCAATTAGAAGACTTATCAGATGTTCATTAGTGATTTGTTAAATAGCTTAGATATCCGCAACATAAATTGTGTAACTCATATTGCAGTATGACGATTTAACACTAATTCATTGATGCCACGAGCCGATCACAGCTACACAAATATTGAAAAGCTTGAAGCATAGAACGGAAGCTTCATCCTATCAAGGGAATCCCCAGCAGAAACCGTCTTGGGTGTGCTAAGAGTACCTCCCCAAGAAGACTTTAAAAACGATTTCGCACTATCGTGGACTGATTGAAGTTAAACTTGTACACCATCCGATTACAGTTCAGTTGTCAAGAGATTAAGCAATCGCGCGCAAAACTGAAGGTCGTCGGTCCGATTCCTATTGTGTATGTTCACTTCTAAGAAATCCCGTACTAGAACAAAACGCTCTTCCTGTGCTTCCACGTTTTCAATGATTGTCTTACGTCGGTCGATTCTTAAGTTTGATGTTCAACAATCTTCACAAACCTATACTAACCGTCTAACTATGGATTAACGGCTTTACCAAACCTTGATGTAAGATGAAGAAATATTGAACATGAATAACTAGTTACTCATATTACTTTAAAATGTCGGACTATAGTATAAACTAGGAGATACTTTTCACTCACGAAAAAACTTGCTACGACATGAAGATCGAGAATTGAAGCAATGAAAACAAAGTAACAGTTTTTGAGGTCCAAGTTGATTGGGAATAAAACTAATGCTTTAAGGAATTATATAACATATACAACGAAATATAACATAAAATCGATATTGATTGAGATCTTGAACCGATTGATGTTAGACCATCATAGAACATCTGGAAGCGCTGAACGGCCGATTTGTCCTATTATGAGAGTCTTCAACAATGTGCATCCACTATCCCGCTCGCGGATTCGAACCCAGGGACTTCTCGGAGTTCTAGTGAGAAGCAGTGACCAGTGGAGCCAATCCGTGTCGGGTAGAGACAGGTATCTACTTTAGTACAATAGAAGATGATCGAGCAATTTCGTGTATAGGTTGAGACTATACATTAAAACCGTTGGATACCAGCTCAGTGGTCTAATAGGTTGAGTTCGCGCACCAGACTGAAGGACCTGCGTTCGATTCTCGCAAGAGGGAAGAGTCCCACAATAGGACGAAACGGCCGTCCAGTGCTTCCAGGTTTTCAATGGTGGTCTAACATCAATTGATTCAAGATCTCAATCAACAAATTAATAATCTCCATAAACCTATACTGACAGAATCGATAGTCTAAGACAAGAAAATGGTAAACAATTATACTACATTAATACAGTGTTATATGGCTTTTAGAGTAACTAACAACAATGAGGAAAATAAATGAGACTTATTTCGATTAACCGACTATTAGATTAGATAGGAATGAAAACCATCTTAAGTAATACATAATTTGGAAATAATATTACAATTTATCTCTTAAATTCATCAAATGGCAATACTACCATACATATAAGTCTACAAAGAAATAACTTACCCAATTGTGGTAAAGTGGACATACACGATAAAAATGGAATTGTTAAACTATCTATAATAATAAGTTTACAATTTGAGAAAAATTCTTCAGTAGGAGTGGATAAACTATGTAGATGACGTTGTGCTTTATCTATATGCATTCGTATGGTTATTAGTGAATCAATGAGATGGCCAAATGTTGGTACTAAACAACAACGAATCCTAGTGAGATATTGTTTGATATCCTAAACCGAATTGAGAATAAAGAGGTAGAAATACACATGAAAAATGGAAAGGGATTGAAGATAAACATGAACAAGCATAATCAAATATAATGGTTGATGTAACATATTATTGCAAAGAAAGTTTCAATCTATTTATTTTTGAGAAACATTTTATGCATGGGAATTGGAAATAATTTATGTTTATCAAGTCTAGATAAGAGATGAAGCAGTTTATGAATAAATAACTTCATACTGGAATGTCCGATATACAAATAAGTAATTCTTCTGCACTTATCACTCAAAATATGATTGAAGCGGACGGTACTGGGTTCGAGTCCCAGAGTGAACATCAACTTTGGGGTGCAGGTACGTGTGGCTGACGAGCCCCAAATCGGACGAAATGCATGGCCTGAATTCCACTGCTAGTCACCATCCATCATTGCTTAAAAAGCTTGAGACTTAAGGCATTATCGAGGCAACCTGCACAGGATGCACATATGCCAACATGAGACTGATCAATTACAGTTTTAAATAACAATGGGAAGATACAATTAAAACAACACCAAGTGGATTTAACTTCACCCATCGCACAAGCAGGTGACTATCAGGACTCAGTAGCTAAAAGGGTAACGCGATGGTGTTTGAAGCGAACGTTAGCGGGTTCGAATCCCGGAGTAAACATCAACTTTGGGATGCAGGTACATCCAGTTGACGAGTCTGAAATAAGACGAAACGCGCGTCAAACTGCATTCCACTGCTAGCCACTATCCATCTCTGCTTAAAAAGCCTGTGAATTAAGGCTATATCGAGGCAATCCGCATAGGGTGCATATATCCTAATAAGAGACTGATCAATTACAGCTCTAAACATGAATGGGAATATTCAGGTAAAACAAAACCAAGTGAATTTATGGTTGAGATATTGAAAAAAAACGATGAGCAAATCTTCAGCTAGGAGAGTAGATCCGCAAACTCAATGAAATAGTTTTCTCTACAGGAATAGATGACAGACGATCTAAAATAAGGAAAGCAGATAGAACTGACATGTATCATATGTAGCTGATTCACAGGAATATTTGCCGCATGACATGAACTAATTAATAGTATCCGAGTAGTATGTCTTCAGTCAACTGATTTACTCGTTTGAAACAATTTTGAATAAAACACATTGCGACAATGTATCGTAAGTGATAGGGAAATATCGAGATGAAAATCTTCTTCATAACAGTTGTATAACTTCCCGAAACACTGAAACAGTTTGCAAACCTATAGATGACGTAAACTAACCTACAATTAACGTTTTAATCGTAGTGCATTGTATTAAATTGAAGATTTCTTGTATGTGACAGTTAAGCAGTTGATGGAGATAATACCAAAAAGGTTTATCATTTAGGAGAAATACAATTAGTTAGATGGCAAACATAGTTCAATTACTTACATCATAGAAGTGTTTGATCCAATTCACCTACACATTTGATAATATTCTTTTTAATATTATGATATCTACTTTTCACTCAACTTAAACATTTGTTTAGATACATTCACTTGGTATTGTTTACTTCCCATTGATGTTTAGCACTGCAATTGATCAGTCTCTTATTGACATATGTGCATACTGTGCGTATTGCCTTAATTCAAAAGCATTCTAAGCAAAGATGGATAGTGGCTAGCAGTGGAATGCAGTTTGACGCGCGTTTCGTCTTATTTCAGACTCGTCAACTGGATATACCTGCATCCCAAGGTTGATGTTTACTCCGGGACTCGAACCCGCTAACGTTCGCTTCAAACACTATCGCGTTACCCTTTTAGCTACTGAGTCTTGATAGCCATTTGCTTGTGGAATGGGGTGAAGTTTTAATTCACTTGATATTGTTTAGATAATTAAGTTATATACCTTTTTCTTCTTTAAAATATTTTAATATGCTTAACAATTTAGGTCAACATTATAGACAATATTTTCACTTTAATACTATCAGAATTTTGAAGGAATGTTATGAATTGATCAGTAGATAGATTTTCAGACATATTCTATCACATATGAGTGTGACCTCTATACGGATATTGTGCTTTGAAAAGTGATTTATGCATCTTCATTACATTATTATTATGTAAAAGAATGTAAAGAAAGAAATCAATTTCGAAATACTCGATGTGAAAAATACGGTGTAATAATCTAAAAGGCATTTAAAATTATTCATAAACTCGTAAACAATAATTCATTCTTCTGAAAGATCAAGATATACGGTTGAACCAGTCAAGTCAAGTCAATAACAACGTAGAACTTCGTACGTACGTACATCCGTTCGAGTTGCCATACCACATCAGCACAGAGATGCAGTTGTCGATTGAAATCCCGTAGTGGTAGAGGTAATAAGAGTATAAGCAGTAATCGAGAAGATTAGGGTTTGGAGATGTTATTTAAGGAGTATAATCTAGTGAAATAAATTCGGAAAGAGAAAAAAGAGACAAGGAGGAATCAGGAGATCAAAATTTGGGAGAACACAAAGAATGGATGCACCTGTGCCGTTGCAAACGATTTTGAGCCATGTCATTCAGGGTCTCTAACCATCGGTTGCTATCATCTCGCGGTCCCCAACCAAATAGTCTGCATCTACCAACATGACTCAGTCCACTCGTCAGTGACTTCATGGATTTGTGCCATGTTTAAAATTACTATAATATCCACACAAAAAACCCCTTCCAATACAAATAAACATCAATTCACTCTAGAAAATTCTTCAATTATATATGGGACTTTATATAATTGTATAAAATGTAATACAACATATTCTAAAACGATAATCATATTTAAGGCTAACAAGCCTTTTAAACATTACAGTATACCAATTTAAGATAGTTGATAAAATTAACTAGAATTTATTAAACTGAATAGTGTATAATGATAATTTGAATCAGTTTATAGGTCATTCGAAATTGTAAAATAAGATGAAAGAGAAATGCTATTATAATTACAATTTAAGTTATATAGTATAGTCAAATTATTGTATGAATTCATTATGCGATAGTAAAGTAGAATCAGTACTAATTAAATTTATAATAATAATAAAAAAATCCTCACGATGCTCCACTGCCTTGTGGGTCAGACGTTTAGATCAATGGCTCGGGGTGTGACCCCCTAAGAAAACCACTTGCCTCGATCTGAGCACGCGGGCAGTATCACAGCCCACACACAAATAAAATGAAAATGGCTATATTTACTGAAAATTCTATTCTCGCTTCGATTTAGTCATACAATTCACATTATTATTATTATTATTATTATTATTATTATTATTTACTACGTCATTTATTCACTCTTTTTTATTCCCACTCTGCGTATCCTTATTTTTCGACTTATACAGCAGCTCGCCTATGGTGGAAACTCGGTTTTATCTAAACGTTCTCGAGTCACTGACTGGTTGAAAATTGTATGCTACCACCAAATACGAATACTGAAGCAGATTTTTTGAAACCACATGCACCATCAAAACTGTCTGCCTACAAAGTTCGCACACTTATGCAGGTCGGACAACAGATAAGGCTGTCTATGTCTTTGGAAAGTCTTAATATCGACGTTTGTTGTCTATCTGAGACCCGTATTCAAGACTCTGGTGAAGTACTACAAATTCGCTCGCCATCTGTCGCTTCAAAAAGCTTGTTTTACGTGAGTTTATCCGGGGACCCTGTGGCATCTTCGTCTGGTCTTGCTGGCGTTGGTGTCTCACTAAGCGCTAGAGCTGAGGCAGCACTAATCGATTGGATCCCCATTAACAGTCGGTTATGTGCTGTTAGATTATAGAGTTCCATCAAAGTGAGAAGAAATCGGCGTGAGAAACCATGACTTTTCATCATCTCCGCCTATGCCCCGACAGATTGCAGCCCGGATGCAATCAAGGATGAATTCTACCACCGGTTAACTTTTCTTCTCCAGAAAGTGCGTTCGACAGATATTGTAGGACTAGCCGGAAACTTGAATGCTCAGGTCGGGAGTCTAGACACGGAAGGGAATCGTTTAGGTGGCCGATAGGGACTTGTTGGTCGCAGGACAGATAACAGGGACCGCCTACTGCAGCTGTGCACAGACCACAACCTGTTTCTGGCTAGCACTAACTTTCGGCACAGTCATCACCGATTTGCCACCTGGCGTCCTCCCTCTGCATCTCAAGCATGGACTCAGATTGATCACATCGCGATCAGCTATCGTTGGTGTGGTTGTGTACACAACTGCAATCAGTCTGTCAGTTGCAATGTAGGACCAGGCACATTTATGCGTCGGTCCAAGTTGCCACACCTCATTAGCACTACAAGATGAAGACCGGATTCATAGAAGTAGTTAATTCAATGATGGTAATATATATAATAAAGATTGTGTATCAGGATATCGTACAGGAAGGAAGAATTAGTTCGTAGGAAGAAAGGTATAAAGCAATTTTAATATCACTGTTTAAGAACAGACAAAGAATGTTTACATCTACGCCATTGTGATCGATTCTGAGCCATGTCACCAAGAGTCTCCAACCGTTGGTTACGATAGTTACGCGGACCCCAACCAAGTAGTCTGTATCTACCACCAGCATGGTTCAGACTAGAAGTTAGTGAATTCAAGAACTGATACCACGTTTTAGTTCGGCCGCCCCTGACTTTCTTCCATCCCCAACCTACTTCAATGTTCCATTCAGGCTATTTGGGCATGGTGGGTAGTTGTAGCTGAAGGCCAGCTGAACTGCTACTTAAAGTGTTCTACACATCGTTCTAAACGTCTGGGCTGGTGCAGGACTACTGCTCCTTTTGGAGTACCTATCTGTACTCTGACCATGCCCTTGTTTATGGTAATCTTACCTTCGTCCTATACGGATCGATATCAGTAAATTTTTTCAGCTTCTGTTGCAACTAAATATCAAAGCGGGCTAGGTTCAAGGCTAGCTACCATTCCACCGAAAAGTATATTTGAGAATTGGTTGCAATCACAGGACGCTATGGAAGTGGTGAGTAAAGTCGCTTGCGGTTTCGCGAAACATACCGCTTACAAACACTAGGTTTTTTTAGGCTCTTTACAGCTTATTGAAGCCAGTCGGCCTACTCTAGGTGACCACGAGTTTGTTTACAAATGAATACTGTTACACAATGAAATTGTGCAAAACTTGCGTAAGAACCAAGAAGCCTGGTGGTCGGAGTGTGCCAATGAGTTGGAAGCAGCAGTTGCATCTGGTAACTGCCGGAAGCTCTTTCAACTCATCCGAGCCACTGGCAGCAAGAAGTTTGGTGTGAGCCAAACAACCCGTGAAGATGACGGGCAGAATTCTTCGAAGGGCAGTGCGACTGGTCTGTTGCTCCGGCAACATCATTCAGACTGTCCTGCCCTCCATGGCCGGTGACGACTGATCCACCAAATGACGTGAAAGTCCGAAAGGAACTCCAACTCTTAAAGCGCTACAAATCACCTGGTCCAGATTACTTACCTCCAGCTCTTTTTAAAGATGGTGGTGACTTTCTGGTTAAGGAACTGACGACGTTGTTGACAAAGGTTTGGGAATTAGAGAGTGAACCAACGTCATGGAATGAGTCGATAGTTGCCCCTATCTTTAAAAACGGTTCACGTCGTTCCTGTAACAACTATCGGGGGATAAGTCTACTTCTGATTGCGTCCAAGCTATTGGCTTCCGTCATACTTCGTAGGTTGTTCAAAACCCGAGAATGATTGACTCGAGAGGAGCAGGCTGGTTTTCGTTTCGGTCGGGGATGTATTGATTATATCTTCACCCCCCGCCAAATGTTAGAACACCGTCATACTTATCAAAGGCCAACAAATGTAGTGTTTCTTGACATTAGGGATGACTTCGATTCGTTGGATAGGACTGTTCACTGGGATTGTCTATCGAAGAAGGATGTGCCTGAGAACGTCATTAACACCTTAAAGGCCCTATATACAAACACCTCAGACAGAGTGAGGGCATACAACCACCTCTCTCCATTGGTCCATTCAAGCAGTCAGGTCAGACAGGGTTGCTTAATCTCACCATTCCTCTTCAACTTTGCCATCGACGACATTCTGGAAACAACTCTGATGGATGTAAGTAATGGCGGTGTGGATCTATTGCCTGGAGAAAGACTTCTCGACCTTGAGTATGAGGATGATATTGTCTTACTGTGTGGTAATGCCCAAGCTATGCAATTCGCACTTAATCAGTTGGCAATCAGTGTCCGTAGGTACGGCATGTGCTTTGCACCTTCAAAGTGCAAAGTACTTCTACAAGACTGGCAGGATTCTAATCCTGTACTCACCCTGGATGGTGAGCAGATAGACGTAGTCGAGAAGTTCGTGTATCTAGGTAGCTGCATAAGTGCTGGTGGGGGTGAGTGATGAGATCAATGCACGTATAGTGAAAGCCAGAGCGGCTTATGCCAATCTGGGCCATCTTTGGCGCCTCCGTGATGTTAGTCTGGCTGTGAAAGCTCGGATTTACAACGCGCCAGTGAGAGCAGTTTTGCTCTATGCTTGTGAAACCTGGCCTCTCCGAGTTCAGTATGTTAGACGACTCTCTGTGTTTGATCATCGTTGTCTCCGAAGGATTGCTGACATTCAGTGGCAACACCATGTTAGTAATGCAGAGGTTCGGCATCGTGTGTTCGGGCACAAAGACGATAATCCAATTAATGTCACCATCATGAAACATCGACTACGGTGTCTTGGGCATGTCCTACGAATGTCGTCCCAGAGAATCCCACGTCGTGCATTATTTGCCGACTCTGGGACTGGCTGGAAAAAGCGGAGAGGTGGTCAGTGTATGACATGAGTTGCTGCTTTTAGTGTTACCGTTCTCCAATCGACCTGCCTGGCATGGTAGTACCTGCAGGAACATATGTTCCAGACAATATAGCTCGGTTGGGTCAACACGATACACAAGCCCGACCACAATGTCAAGATAGCAGCTACCCTTTGTTATCAAATTTTAAAGAAGTTGATTATTTTATCGTTGGTGAGCTTCAGTGTCGCAAATCTAATCGGTACATAAGAGAAATATTGTGAATCACATTACACTAGGTAGGAAGTTCAGTCTACGTTCAAGGTGAGAATTGTTTTAAAACACATAAAGGCGATTGGTATCGTCATATAGCTAAATATACATCCCTGGACACTCTTATACAACACTAGGAAGGTTGAATTGATAGAAACCTTATGACTTTATTTTGTGGTCTAATTAGACAATTATAATTTGATTGCTTTGGTAGCCATTTAGGTATAGGATCGACCACCCTTACATGTAGATCACGATTCTTTGTCCTTATGTTTATGTGTATACATAGAAACAGTGGGATATAACATACTCATTTACATACTGTCTAGGATTTTGGTAAAGCGTAGACCTTGACTTTTAGATAATGATAGAGTGAGTTGGAGTGAAAAGTTTTGCTGATCATTAATTGAAGTCTTCGTTTTAACATAAGACTATTTGAGTCACCATTGAATAATGAGGTAATATAGACACGTTTATTGAGTGCTAAAGGCGTAGTGAGTTCAATCATATTGCTGTTCCCCTTCCAACAATTAATGAACTTTAGTGTGTATTCATTTACATATTTTGATGAGAAGCTTCACTTCTTCCTCAATAGTGTCCCTAGGGCAAATATGGTCGAAATACTTTATCAAACTTTGTTTGTATTGGACTGGACAGCAATTATAAAAGCCTACATACAGTCCTATCCATACAGGCTTTCTATGAATAAAATGTTTGGTAGAGCTATTGTCTCTTCTATTAATTAATATGTCCAAGATGATGAGCTTAGTGGTTATTCATCTGCTCCTAAAATGAAAGATTATGTAGGATTTTTCGCGTTATAACGCCTATACGATTTGTTTTAGCTTGTGAACAAACAAATTATTCTGATTCTTCCAGTCATTATGTCAGTCATATGCTCAACTTTGCCAATCCCTCACGTATAACCTTGTGTGAATGATAGTAGGTATGGATCTATACACTTCCTGTACTTCCTAAATAATTTATAGTCATCCATTTATTCGTGAATTTAGCGTATTACCGAGCTTTAATGCTTTATACAATCGCTGTACTTTTTATTTACTGTTCAGTATAAGCGTGTCTTAAATATACGTATCCTAAATACAGCTCATGTTTGACTTTTATTATCTTCGTTGTATCAACGTCATTTGTCAACAGAACATATACGAAATACACAGGATTTCATTAGCGTACATATCGTTTAGTCAGTACGGCGACAGTAACAAGCACCAAAGCTGATATGCATTCGAATTGTATTGTTTCATTAACAGGGAGTTCACATCTTCATGTACGTCACTTAAGACTGCTATCATCCACGCACTGGATATAAAGACACACATTTTTTAGTCTTTAGTTAAAAAGGTCATATAGTACTGATAACCTTGATCTTCTCATTGCATTATCTAAATTCATCATAGGACTAATTTTTTAAAATTAGTTTCATGAAAACTCACACGGTTTGGAACATTGGAAGTTCCATATTCATCTTTTGTTGCTGCATTCGTCGGCACATTAGCGTGTTTGAGATTTTGCTTTTTAAGATATTCTAGTAATCTATCTGCAATAAAATCACCCTTTGTATCCAGATAGATGATGGACACAGTTTTATAATTTCGAAGTACAGAAGCACATACAGAAAGGCAGAACTGAAATAAAACAGACAAAAACAACGATAAGATAAACAGTTCAAGACCAACATACAGTATAATTGAATAGTTGTTAAAAAAGCCTATCATTTTGAGGCTGTACTTAAAGCTGCAAAAAACTTTCTTTTCAGCTAATTAAAATAGGTAGGATTTAGTGACCAAGTAGTTAATAGGTGAACATATAACCGATGAGCTGTAATAAATTGCAGAAAAATAACTTATTAACTGTCTAATCAATTCACCTGAAATGCCTAGCAGGTTTGTTCTCAACAGATATCCTTAGAAACAATGATTCTAACGATAATAAAGGTGAGTAAAAAACATTAAACTAACTACTGTATCATCATCATAACATTCATCAGAAATCCATATTTCACAACGCCAATATGCCAATTTCCATGGTAGGTACTTTAAACATCTGATTACTATTATTACTTGGGGACGTAAGTATTAGGATAAAAGAATGAAATAAATAACTCTTTACAAACAATTCTTATTACATTTGACCTCTTTCTAACAGACGTTCTGAATTAATTGTTACATTAACATTTCGAAATGCTGGTGTCGTTCAAATCTCTGGATTTCGGTATTAGTTAATAGACTCGAAATGAATGTCACTTCACAGATTTGTAATGAGTTTTATTTCTAGGATTTGTTGTGAACAGTAAACAATCAATTTGAATTTGCAGCTATGTCTGTTTTATAACTTCATTGTATCTTCGTTAACCAGCTAGGATACTTGGATTTGATAATGAGACTAGAAGTTATTATCTTGAGCAGATATGCACATGGGTGAAAAGACACTAACTAGGAAGAACTAGTTGTCCAGTAACTTTTAGCTTGCAGTAGTCATTTACACAACTTTACGTAGTGAGTTTGTCAACTCAAATCTTACTAGGTTGAAATGTAATGCCAATACGCTTCAATTTTATTTTCATTAAAATCGATTGTAGTGGTGGTCAGTATTTAATATAATCCTTAGACTTCGTATACAGTTCGTCCTGATAACCTTCACTAGATAACAACCCAACGGTGTAATAATCAGAAGGCAAGTACGAAGTGTTGATTAAGTTTATTATTGCACTACGCACTGATCACCAAAATTACAGGTACTCTAAGCAAGCATGAAAGAGTAGTGCCGAAAATCAAGCGGACAAGCGAGTCAATGAACATGATTAAAATGTACATATACATACCTTATTTGACTCAAGTAAGGTTAGCAGAATGAATATATCCGTAAGCAGTAAGCAATGCTCGAGCATACATATTCATACAAGTTCAACAATAATAAAAGTACAATGGTATATGTTAGCGTGACATAGATTGGAATAAAGCATGTTGGTGTACGCTGATTGATTGTTTCTTAACCAATCAGCGCTAGTCGATACCTGGAGAACACTCTAGAATCCTCCTCATGTAAAAACTATGAATATACTAACGTTTTTCCTACTGTGCTTCTTACTTCCATCTACCCTTGTTATTTGGAATATAAGTACTTTCCTGTTTAACCGTGTTCTGATTTGGGGACTTGTCGAGTGAATTGGTGTCCGAGAATACTAAGCAATAGGAATAGCTAGGTTGTAATAAGAATTATAACAGTATAGACAAGTTGTTATTTTTAAGAATGACTCTGTCATTTAAATAAGTTAAATAAAGGGCTTAACTAAATGAAATGTGAACAAACTCAATTGCACGTGAGCTGCTATACCCTATTTAGTGTTACATGTATTTTTGTTAAAAAACCTGCTTTAAAGCATATTTCCTTAAAATTACTTTCCGAATCTGATGGAAATTTCAATCGCGTGCAAATGTACAAATGTCAAAACAGTTCTACTGTATGGGGTGGAAAATTGGAGAACTATGAAAACCATCATCTAGAAGATACAAGTGTTTATTAACAGTTGCCCACGCAAAATACTTCGGATCCGTTGGCCAGATACGCTATATCAACTACAACCTACTGTGAGAGAGAACAAACCAGATTCCAGCGGAGGAAGAAATCAGAAGGAAGCGCTGGAAGTGAATAGAATGCACATTGAAGAAAGCATCCAACTACGTCACAAGGCAAGCCCTCGCTTGGAATCCTCAAGGTCAAACGAGAAGAGGAATACCAAAGAACACATTACGCCGAGAAACGGAAACAAACATGAAAAGTGTTATAATTCTCTCTTATTACAACCCAGCTATTCCTATTGCTTAGTATTCTCGGACACCAATTCACTCGACAAGTCCCCAAATCAGAACACGGTTAAACAGGAAAGTACTTATATTCCAAATAACAAGGGTAGATGGAAGTAAGAAGCACAGTAGGAAAAACGTTAGTATATTCATAGTTTTTACATGAGGAGGATTCTAGAGTGTTCTCCAGGTATCGACTAGCGCTGATTGTATAAGAATTAGCCAGTCAGCGTGTACCAAAGCAATCGTGCAATGAGCATGCTTCAACCCAATTTATGTCCCGCTAACACCTCCCCTTTGAGCAGATTCGTAGGATCTGGTGCGTCGAGGACGTTCACGCTTATTCTTGGGCTGAGGCGTACGATTCGGTGGGTAATGACCTTCTTTATGTTCACAAAAAGAGTGAACAACAAATGGATAGAACTAGAAAGAAAGGTCCAGGACATAAAAGGTTGGAGAATAGTGGTCAGCGGCCTATGCTTCATTGGGAGTAACAGGCGCAAGTAAGTTATCATTTCATGACAAGTTATGATATAGCATTTAAAGTGACGAATCCTAGGAGTGATAATAGACAAATAATAATTTTAAAACAAAATAAAATATATTAAGAATTCCACAGTTAAACAAAATTAAATCCTTTATCTTGTCAAACAATATAGTATGCTAGTCAAGATTATTTGCCTATTCTCGAATTAAGAAGTTAAGTGCTGTAGACAGGATACCCTTCTGGTAACGACGGATTTCTCGGGAGACAACGGTCCCAGGTCTGTACCTGTGTGGCTTTTTCACGCCCCCAGTAGCTGGGGCACTTTTGCGCGCAGCCTTGGTGACCAGCTGTTTTCGAGGGGCCCCACCTCCGGTTGATTTACGAGCAGTCTCTTTGGTTGGTGCCATTCAGAAACACCGGGAGACGATGACCCAAACGCCCTGGTACGGTCGAGAGTGGGGGGAGTCCGCTCTCCCTCTCGAAATGCTTTCACATGGCCAAGTGAATATAGCCTGTGTTAATGATGCCTTACTCACTGCTTTCTCGTGGCGGATGTGCTGTTTATTAAATTGAGAGGACGAAAAGCGAAAGTCCGGCGCTTTAATCGGGTTGGTGCACACGGAGAGTCCACCTAGGGGAGTTGAAAAAGCCTGATTCCAAACCAATGGTGCATGTGGTCTCCAGTATCCTGAAGGAACAAGTGGCGTCCGAACCAATCGTTGGTCACCGGTTATCATGGGACTGCATCTCCTGACGTTGCTCTACTGCCTTGTAAATCAGACCTTTAGGTCGAAGGCTCCGGGTGTGGTCCCTTAAGAAAACCACCTGCTTCGGTCCGGGCACCCGTGCAGTATCACAACCCCCACACCAATTTCATTTGATTTGTGTGGCGCATATGTATCTGGTGCCCCCTTTTACCAATATCTATGTGTTCAAAGAAATAAATAATAATGATTAGACAGGATTATTATTCGGAATATTTTAAAAACACAAATACAAACATACAATCACAACTAACTTGAGTTTTCCCACAAGAAGATTTACCGATTATTTCTGTAATTTCACTGGTTCTTAAACCTCCATTAAGTAGATTGTCCAAGCTGGGTTTTTTTTAAATATGAATGCACAATCAATACTTGATTATTAAAGAATAAAATGCTTCTAAACTTTTATTTTGTCATAAACGAAGACGATTAAGATTCATTGAGATTAGAGAAAAATCACTAAAATCAAAGCAATACATAAGTATACTAAGTAATTATGGGCCATAATACGATTACTTCTATTCAGAAATCATATATTCTTGATTTGACGCAGACGTTGGGTAAAGGATAGAGATGTTGATATATTCAACACGATAAGCAAGCCCCACCACCACATCAAGGCAGCAGAAATGGTCGGATAATAAATAAATTGAGACTTGCAAGAAATTCGATAGATTACACAATCATTAGTGAAATTGTAGAGAAGTCTTGTTGCTTACAAAACTGAGAGGATGGAAAGCGAATGCCCAGCGATTTTACCGGATTGATGAATGAGGAGGATCCATCGAGAGGGGTTGGAAAACCCTGATTCCAAACCAATTATGCACATGGGCTTCAGTATCCTGAAGGAACAAATGGCGTATGAATCAACTATTGGTCACCGGTTATCATGGGATTGCATCTCCTGACGTTGCTCTACTGCCTTGTGGATGAGACCTTTAGGTCGAAGGCTCCGGGTGTGGCCCCCTAAGGAAACCATCTGTTTCGGTCCGGGCACCTGGGCAGTATCACAGCCTACACACAGATCAGGTAACTTACTTGCGTGTCGCATATGTATTGGGTGCCCCTTTGTACAAATATTTATGTGTCCAAATAAATAAATGTGGCTGAATATCAACAATATTTATGTAGGAATAGTGAGATGAATAGTAATGAATCTGAAAGATTCACTAAGGTCTTAGCTCCCACTTATAATCAGTTTATCTACCTGTCAATATCTCCCTCTATCTTTTATATACTTATCAAGAGGACACAAATAACTGTATTAATTTTTACATATTAATAAATCTCATCTTACTTGGTTCTATGCTTCTTGATCTGCTAAAGGATTTTAAAATCAAACAATTAGTAATGCATTTAATTTTTGAGATCATGACTCAATTGAATCTAGACCACCATGGAATCTCGCGAGGTGGGATCGTGGATGCGCACTGCTGAGGTGTCCAACAATAGGACGAAACGGTCATTCAGTACTTTCCGGTTTTCTATGGTGGTCTACCTTCAATTGACTCATGATCTCAACTACTGAAATTATTATAACATTCACAAAACCCCTTCTGAAATTAATAATATCTTTTCGATATATATAATATGTGTAATAGATACTAGTATGAATGTATGGTAACACTAACTGTAAACCTTTCATTGATGAACAACCTTCAATATCCTTCTTATGATGTAATAAGTTCCTTTTTTAAAATTATACAACAAATATAGCGGCACATTTCAATTACAACGTTCAAATAAAGCTGCGGTATAACATTATGAAGAATTAATACTAACTTGTCAATTCCAGTAGAGAAACAATATGAATATTTTAATTCTTCGAGTAACATTTGAGCTCCATTTATAGGTCTAGGACACCAATAGGACATAAGTAAACGTCGAAAGAAACTACGTTCCTTTAATGGATGGAAAAATAATGAGAAATTGTTTAATAATAAATAAACAGCTTTAATATTGATTAAGCTTAATCTGTTCAAGATAGTCAATGAATTGGTCGACTGACAGTTCTTTTCAGAACATATTTCAGGGTTAATATTTAGGTTAGTTTATGGATTAGCTTGTTTTATCAGAATGTCAATTTCAGCAGATCAGTTTAAATCTATTTTGAAGCGGTAGTAAAAAGAATTTCAAGCATCACAATTGAAAATGATCGAAGTGATGGCTTAAAAGTTGACAATTCAAGAAGATTTAGTACAAGTATCCGAATTAAGGGGTTCAACTACCAAATCACTGATCGATTCAATGAACGAGTTTCATTTTGATCCTAATGCTAGTGTCACAGTTGAATCATGGTTCAAATAGTTATGAAAATATTTTACAAGTTGAGTTTTTTCATCATGATGACTCATTTCGTGAGCTTGGAGTAATCGAGCATGAAAAATATTCGAACTTTATCTAACCGAAAAACCCTACGATTCCTCTTTTAATTTGCGATATAATTCTCTTTAAACAGTTAAGAGATCTGAAGATGATTTTGTTTCATATGCACTTACTTCCGCCTGTTACTCCCAATGGAGCATAGACCGCCGACCAGCATTTCTTAATAATCAATGAGAGAATTTCAGGTTATATACACTTTCAGACGACGAATTTAAGTGCCTTATGGCTGTATACAAATTGCGATCACCTTCAGATTGAGATAACCGTACTAAAATATTAACCAAAGTCCAGTCAGATTTCATTCTTACGTCGAAAGATAATACAAATGCATGTTGTCATATTATTAAACTTAAGAATGATACTAAAATGATAGGGTGTTTAAATCCCAATTCACTTGAATTGATGAGAATTTCTCATTCAGATCGCACTATTAATGTCGTAAAGCATGATTCGCGAAATTTTCCTCGCCCGAATCTAATGTATAATGTCTATGACTCTAATTCACGTCTCTCTACATGGCCTCTCAATAGATGTTGAAAATGTGAGGCATGGCATTTCTCCCGTTCCTGCCAATTCAATAATCATTAATGCTCAAAATGTGGGGTAACCGGTCATAGGGAGGAATTTCACAAACGCAGGGAACCCTCATCACATCATCGAATGTTAAAAAGAATCAATTTTGTACATGTTTTATTGAAGCCCAACCCTAAATGCTTATACAATTATGTGTCCACCAATGTTAATGATTGAATTATCACACTGCACTTGGATACTGTATTCAATGTTGCTTCGATTTCTCGCAAAACTTTATTGACCAAGCATCCATCCTATTAATGATTGCATAAAGAATGCATCAGGTATCCCAATCGAAATTTCTGGAATTATCAAATTTACAGTCAAAATCAATGATCTGATAATCAAATCTAGATGTTAGATTACCGATGAATCTTTCAATCTATTGATTGGGCCTCGACTGGATCACAGATTTAAAAACGTCTGACCAGTCATCTGATCTTATAATCAAATATCTTCCTATTTTCATATTATGCACAAATGGAAGCAGAAGTTTCCAGTGATTTTCAAAATTATCACAAGGGGGAGGGAATGATGGAGAAAACCACCCGGAATAATCCTGTACACAGCCCCACTCAAGGATGTATCGTCAGCCATATCAATGTTCGAAAGAGACTCAGACTTCACGTGACGCCATGTATCCAGAGAGAAGAAAGCCAGATTATGAATCAGAGGTAAGGACAACTGAACGTTGCTCCCCTCAACGCCGAAGGGAGGACTAAATTTTTCAAGAGAGAAAGGTTATGTAGTGAGCCAATCAGAAGTAGCCAGACAGGGTCACTTGATGACATTCAGAGATGACTGAAAGGACAGATACATATCATTGGCTAGGAAGTGTATTGACTTTTTAAAGGGTGGAAATATATATGTTTATGCATATTTGTTCGGTAACTGTTGGGATACTCAGAAAAATATCCCAGAAACAATTATCCGGTTAAGTCTAACGCTACCGTTGAACGTTAAATGGTGTCATTTCCCGATTGGTCGTTTCCCTACTGATCAATATTTATTTCGCGTGTCATTTTCCTATTGGTCAATATTATTTAACGTGTCATCTTTCTGTTGGTCAATATTTATAGTAATCCTAACTGTATAAATATGCATTTGTTTGTAAGTCATTATTCTGCTGCTCCTGACCCCATAAACGATTTTTCGTCTACGGTTCGTGTTCTGATATATTGGAGATTGGGAACAGTATTGGGGTCGAACCGGGATATCTGAAGCTAGTCAATCGGTAGACTTTAGAGTAGCCAACTCACGATTCACAATAAATTTGGCGACGGAGATTTAGCAACAAGTTGGTGATTAACTATGGATCCATCCAAATTAGAAAAATTGTTCGAACAGCAGCTGAAGACGATGGAGATGATTACTCAGACGCATATATCTTCTCGAGTCCCAACTGCACCGACAATTCTTGAATCAGTTGATGGTATTACCAGTGGTATTTCAGAATTTCTTTATGATCCTGATGCCAACATTACATTTGATACCTGGTTCAGACGTTATGAAGACCTTTTCAAAGTTGACTTTGTTGACAGAGATGATTCGTGGAAGGTGCGTCTTCTTCTCCGTAAACTTGGTCCATCCGAGCTGGATAAGTATTGCAACTTCATTCTACCGCAGAACCCACGCGACCGTTCATTCGACGCCACTATTCAGTCCCTTAGCCAACTTTTTGGTGATCATCACTCACTCTTCAGTACTCGATATCGCTGCTTAAAACTGATCATGAATGAGTCCGATGACTTCCTGACCCATGTCAGCGTTGTTAACCGTGAGTGCGAACGGTTCAAGCTCAGATCCCTCACTGAAGACCAATTCAAGTCCCTAATACTCATATGCAGTCTTCAGTCACCCAAATTCTCCGACATCAGAACTCGGTTGCTCAACCGCCTTGAACAAGATCCAACACTGACACTTAATGCGATCATAGACGAATACCAGCGTATCATCAATCTGCAGCGTGACACCACTTTGGTTCAATCTGGGGGCCAGGGTGGTTCCGAAATTCATGCTGTTCAGCACCAGAAAAAATCTTCGAGACCGACAAACTCGAGTCGTTCGAACGCCAGCGCTGTTTCTATCTCTAATCACTCTAAACCGGTTCAGAAGAAGCCCCCCTCGCCATGTTGGCACTGTGGAGCCTGGCATTATGTGAAGTTCTGTCCATTCAAACAGCATGTGTGCGATCGCTGTCAGAAAGTTGGTCACAAAAGCGGCTTTTGCAAATCCAACCGATTCAATAACCGTCGAAATGCACAGACGCAGCGTCGTTTTCACAAAAAGCCGATTACCTCATCAAGGAGTTTAGCAGCAGTCTTCCATACTCATGCCGCGACTCGACGCAAATTTCTGACCCTCTCAATCAATGGTCAGCCTGTTCGTTTGCAGTTGGACACTGCATCAGACATCACCATTCTGTCAAAGAAGACTTGGCGAACCTTGGGTCAACCTGCCATCAAACCATCCTCTCAAACAGCCGTCAGTGCCTGCGGGGGTCATCTCCGCCTTCATGGTGAACTCTATTGCTGTATTTCATTCAGAGGTACAACCTTCAATGGGACATGCTACATCACCAATTCTCCGCTCAACCTTTTAGGTTTAGATTGGTTCGAAGAACTTGGTCTCGCTGATCTTCCTATTAGCGCTATCTGCAATCAAGTCCAAACTACTGCTTCTACACAACAGCGTGCTGAAGACCTTCGAAAACGATTTATTGAACTATTTAAGCCTGGTCTCGGACTTTGTTCCACAACTGAAGCTGTTTTAAAACTGCAGCCAGAAGCTACGCCAGTTTTTCGCCCGAAGCGTCCAGTCCCATACGCATCTTTACCTCTGGTTGACGCTGAACTTCAACGTTTGGAAACTGAAGGTGTCCTAGTACCTGTTTCTTATTCATCATGGGCTGCACCAATTGTGGTTGTAAAAAAATCCAATGGTTCCATACGCATCTGTGCAGACTTTTCCACGGGACTCAACGCGGCTCTACAACAGCATCACTATCCGCTGCCGATCCCAGATGACTTATTTACTATTTTAAATGGTGGTACCTACTTTGCTAAGCTGGATCTGGCAGATGCTTACCTTCAAATTCCAGTCGCTCTAGAATCCAGAGAGTTGTTGACAATCAACACTCACCGAGGACTTTTTCAGTATACCCGGTTACCCTTCGGTATCAAAACTGCTCCAGCGATCTTCCAGCAGATCATGGACACTATTCTGGCAGATGTTCCTGGTGTTGCTACTTACCTTGACGATGTGCTCATTGTCGGCTCAACTGCTGATGAATTGCATACCAGAACCCATTTAGTTCTGCAACGCCTCCAGGATAATGGTTTTCGCCTTCGCCCAGAAAAATGCCAATTCTTCTACGGTTCGTTAAGTACCTGGGGTTTATCTTTGATGCTTCCGGACGACACCCTGATCCTCAAAATACTTACGCAATCCAACAAATGCCTGCTCCCACTGATGTCTCCTCACTCCGATCATTTTTGGGGATGATTAGCTACTATTCAGCATTTCTTCCATCACTGCATGACGTACGATATCCATTAAATCGTCTGCTAGAAAAGAATGCTACTTGGAATTGGTCAACGCAATGTGAGTCAGCCTTTTCAAAACTTAAAGCTATGCTAAGTTCCAATCTTCTGCTAACCCACTACAATCCGAAACTACCCATTGTGGTTGCTGCTGACGCTTCAACACATGGACTGGGTGCCGTAATCTCACATGTCTTTCCCGACGGGTCAGAGAAAGCGGTGATGCACGCTTCGAGAACATTAACACCTGCTGAGAAACGCTACGGTCAGATAGAGAAGGAAGCGTTAGCCCTAATTTTTGCTGTCCGGCGATTCCACAAATTCATTTATGGGCGCCGTTTCACCTTGCTCACAGACCACAAACCTTTGTTATCAATCTTTGGATCAAAGAAAGGCATTCCTGCCCATTCTGCTAATCGTCTTCAACGTTGGGCGTTGGCGTTATTGGGTTACGACTTCGACATCCAGTATCGACGTTCCGAAGATTTTGGTCAAGCGGATGCACTGTCCAGACTTATCAGTAACCATTCTACCACTGATGAGGACACACTCATAGCCATAGTATCAACCGAAGAGGATTCTGATGCTACACTATTGGCGAACGCCGTTCGAGCAATGCCTGTTACCGCTGAAGATGTTCGGGAAGCTAACAGAGAAGACCCGATTATCCAAGAAGCGATCACCTATGTTCAGAGCAGATGGCCAGTTAAGCAGCTGAGTGGTGATATGCAACAACTAGCGAATCGCCGCAGCGCTCTCTGTGTTGTTAACGATTGTCTGATGTTCGGTGATCGCGTAGTAATTCCAACAACCCTACGTTCCAAAGTCCTACGCCAATTCCACTCTGGACACCCAGGGATAAACCGTATGAAATCCATCGCTCGAAGCTATGCATATTGGCCAAATATGGACAAGCAGATTGTCGACTTCGTCAAAAGATGTTCACATTGCCAAAAAGCTGCGAAAAATCCTCCTAAGTTGCCTCCAGTGCCCTGGCCGAAGTCAGAAAAACCCTGGTCGCGAGTGCATATTGACTTCACCGGACCCCTAGATGGTACCACATATCTGATACTGGTTGACTCATACTCCAAATGGCCGGAGATATTGCCGATTGCGCCACCCTCTACAACTCGAACCATCAAACTCCTTAATCGGATCTTCGCTCAGCATGGTCTTCCAGAAACAATAGTAACAGACAATGGTTCACAATTTACATCTAGCCAATTCCGAGAATTTTGCCTGCAAAATTCGATCAACCATGTTCGTTCTCCGCCATATCACCCGCAATCTAATGGACAAGCTGAAAGGTTCGTTGATACATTTAAACGAGCCATGCTTAAAGCACGAGGGGAGGGGACCACAGAAGATATCATAGAACGATTCCTAGTTGCGTACCGGACGACCCCGCATGACTTATTGCCAAACTCCAAATCCCCTGCTGAGATGCTTATGGGGCGAAAACTACGGACAGTTCATGGTGCGATGAAACCCAAGCAAGTGGCCCAGCAAAGCCCCCAGAGGAAGAATACTCGAATTCCCTACGAAATTGGTACAAAAGTGTATGCGCGAGATTATAGACATGGATGTGATAAATGGGTAGAGGGTGAAATCACACAAAAACATGGGGACGTCATGTATGATGTCAAGGTGAACCAAGAAATCTGGACCAGGCACCACAATCAACTCAGGTCAAGGAAAGCGAAGGAGAAAGAAGAAATTACAAAACGCGTCCCACTCGACTTGCTGTTGGACACGTTTCAACTTCCGCCAATACCTCCAACAGAGATGACTAAGTCATCTACTCAAGTAGAACATCCTTCTGGTTCTGTGTGGTTGCCTCGGAGGTCGGATCGCAAAAGAAGACACCCAAAGAAACTTCAAGTAAACCCTCGGTTACGTCGCTATTAACTTCTCCAAAGGGGAGGTGTTGGGATACTCAGAAAAATATCCCAGAAACAATTATCCGGTTAAGTCTAACGCTACCGTTGAACGTTAAATGGTGTCATTTCCCGATTGGTCGTTTCCCTACTGATCAATATTTATTTCGCGTGTCATTTTCCTATTGGTCAATATTATTTAACGTGTCATCTTTCTGTTGGTCAATATTTATAGTAATCCTAACTGTATAAATATGCATTTGTTTGTAAGTCATTATTCTGCTGCTCCTGACCCCATAAACGATTTTTCGTCTACGGTTCGTGTTCTGATATATTGGAGATTGGGAACAGTATTGGGGTCGAACCGGGATATCTGAAGCTAGTCAATCGGTAGACTTTAGAGTAGCCAACTCACGATTCACAATAGTAACCCAATACACTTTTTCTTCCACTCTTGTCTTCTCGCTTAAGTAATCAGTTCGGGGGTACACGTATCAGTATCAGATCTCGAACACCGCCTACCATAACAACAATCAACTCGGGTGGCTTTGAATACAAGCTGGGATCAACAGATCCTGGCTTCACATATTATAGTGACGTAGTTCTTCAGAAACGAAAGAAAGATTCTTCAAAGTGTGAGGACCCGTTTCTGTTTGTATCAACTCTGCACATTAAAAACAGTGCTGGAGAAAACAGAAATCTACGGAGCTAAAAATTGGGTTATTTATTTACCGGGGATTTCTAACGCTTCATTCTGTTTTAGGAATTACTTTACCTCAGATACCTCTAGAGGAATTTTTTAGTACGATTTTGGTATCGGTCATGAGACTTCTTACTCGTTGTCTGAACCATCTACGCAGAACTATCTAGTATATTCTGGTCCATAGAACTAATCGTAACGTATTTAAACCCGATGCTGAAAGTATTATTTACTTAAACACATAAACATTGATACAAGAAGGTGCCAAATACATATGCTCCACATAAATCAATCGATATATGTGAGGGCTGAAATACTGCTCGAGCGCCCAAACCTCTGAAAGTAGTCTAATGCCTAGAATACAAAGTAACATAGAACCATGTGCAATAAAAAAGCAATGACAATAAATACAACACTAATTTTTCACACTGTAAGAACAGGAAAAAAACAGGATAAGAGATACATAAACTTATAGTACTGAGAAAATAGTAAATCCAAGTGATTTGTTGATGGTGGTAATTTTCTATTATGTTATAAAAAGATAGTAAGCGACACATTTGAATTAATCAAAGTATTGGAATTAGAAAATCTAATCTTATCAAATGACTTATATGGTAACGTTCCATAGAAAGATTACATTGACAGAATTTGTATTATACACAGATTCTGGTAAATAATTTCTGGTTAGCGTTTTTTTAGTAAGTTAGTTTTCTACGGGATGGGGTCGCTAACCCCATGCCTAACCCTCCTCCTTTATCCGGGCTTAGGACCGGCAGTAGCCCCCGGAGGGACTCCAAGAGGAGCTTCTGGTAAATAATGCATTTCAGTTATTCTTATCGATTCTGATTCATAATTTCTTTCATTGACATATATAAATCTTAACTAAACATACTCATTCATTTAGTTATTTCGCTAGATTTATTGAATATTAAATGAGTACACAGTTCCAAGAAAAAAAGATACTTTATGAACTGACAACATTTCTTGATGTACCAATAGTTAATCTACGTCTATTTTACTCACCTTTGTAAGATTGGAGATGGAAATATCTTAAACATACTGATCAACACATTTCTGCTTTACCTCTATCAATGAACACTCAGTATGTTTGTTGTACTCTTAAAACAAAGCACTAATTAGCAATGGGTTATATATTCAACTAAGTAACTTCAAAAGAATTTGTTAGGTTGAATCTAAAATGAGCAACTCTATAATGAATCGAACAATGACTGTTAGTCTAGTTTAGATTAGATTGAATAACGGACAATGAAATATGATGACATGTGAGGTTAAACAAGTTCATTTAAGCACGTCATAAAATGACGATTGAAATAAATCATTCAGAATTTTGAAAATATGTAAATTACATTAGATGAAGGTTTACTCTTTAGTTATCTAGTTATTCATCGACGACTCTCTCAAATTAATTCATTACCTCATATGTTACTCAACTTATTCAAGTTAACTACAACTATATCAACTTTAAGTATAAGTTACTAATAACTTTCAACTTACCTTTGTATCAGATATATTATTTAATCTAGACCAATCATTTGTATGATTGGAATTTCTTAGTGAAGATTTGTTTTTCTCCACATCTTTATTACTATTCATAGTAAAACTTGTAGGAGGAGGATTTGCATAATTTTTAGAGGTTGATAAGTTATTCTGAATTGATGATGAATTAAAATCCGATAATAGTAATAATGGTAACAATGGTAGATTAATAAATTGAGATCTTTGTAGAAGATGAATTTTTGAAGCAATCAAATCAATTGATTCTTCATCAGTCATGATATAAACAAATCACTGAAAAGTTATATGGATGTACAGGAGAAAAAAAAGAAAAAGAAAATAAGTGTACAAAAATTATAAGATGAATGCATTGTAAATCCAAACCAATGGTGCACATGGGCTGGCTCCAGTATCCTGCGGGAACAAATGGCGTATGAACCAATTGTTGGTCATCGGCTACCATGGGACTGCATCTCCTGACGATGCTCCACTGCCTTGTGGTTCAGACCTTCAGGTCGAAGGCTCGGGGAGTGGCTCCCTAAGAAAACCACCTGCTTCGGTTTCGGCACCCGGGCAGTATCACAGCCCTCACACATATCGAATGAGATTTGTGTGGCGCATATGTATTCGGTGCCTCTTTAAATCAATATCTATTTGTTGAAATAAAATCAATAAATAATCCGATACTAGTAGAAGTTATAATTTACTCATAGAAAATAAATTGTAACATATTGACAAATGCGGCCATTAATATAAACGGACAAAGTTAACAATCTTAAAGATCTCATTTTATTTATTTAAACACATAAATATTGGTACAAAGGAGCATCGAAAACATATGAGCCACATAATTCATTCGATTTATGTGAGGACTAGGATACTGTCCGGGTGTCCAGACAGAAACAGGTGGTTTTCTTAGGGGACCACACCCGATGCCTTCGACTTAAAGGTCTAATCCAAAAGGGAGTGGAGCAACGTCAGGAGATGCAGTCCCATGTTAGTCGGTGACCAACAATTGGTTCAGATGCCACTTGTTCCTTCAGGATACTGAAGCCCATGTGCATAATTGGTTTGGAATCAGGGATTTCCAACACCACCAACTCCGTTAAAGCACCGGACATTCGCTTTTCGTCCTCTCAATTTCGTAAAATATACGATGTATATGGATATATATGTTAGCTCAAAAGAACGGATTTATTGTAGAATAGTGGAAATTTATTTAACAGGATATGTAGAAAATGAAAGGAACAACTTCAGATAATGAAAACTCACCATTTAGCAATAATAACAATATTACTTCAAAACAATTATAATATTCACAAAATAATGACTGATAAAAAAGGAATAAGGTCCAACAATGATCGTTAATTGTGAGAGGTGTACTACTGATGTTGACAGATATAAGTAGTATGTATCACTAACCGAAAGTGAAATGTCTGACGGAAGAAGGTCGAAGAAAAGAGAATGAGAACAGAGAATGATTGGTGTGGAAATGAAGAAACAATGGAGTCTGAGACGCTTGATCGACATTTTACAAACGAAGCATTTATTGTATGGTTCTCAGGTTTTACTAAGATATTCTGTAATTTTGAATTCAATTACATTTGGTTGTCCTCATTTGTGTTCTCGTTCACTATAATATTAACAATTGAATTTGTTAGACGACTGAAGCTAGACCACCATGGAAAACGAGGACGACCTTTTCCTCCTATTGTGGGACCCCTCAGCAGTGCGCATCCACGATCCCGCCCCGCGGGATTCGAACCCAGGACCTACCAGTCTCGGGCACAAACGCCTAACCTCTGGACCACTGAGTAGGTATCCAACGATGTTAATATCTAACTTCAACCAACCGACGAAAATGAGCCACCGTCCACCATTGTCGTTACTATCTCATGGAATACAATGTTTAATCTCGCGGGCGGGGTCGTGGATGCGCACCACAGAGGAGTCTCACAATAGAACGAAACGGCCGTCCACTGCTTACAGGTTTTCCATGGTGGTTTAGCTTCAATCGACTCATGAATTCAACTATAAAATTACTAATATCTCCGCAAAACCCCTTCTGATAACAAGCGTATAGTTGACGAGTGTGAATTAACCTTATCGGAGTACAAGCTAATCGGTCTTATTATTGCATTGGGTTTGCTCATCTGATTCATTCTGTAAATGAAGGATAACAGTTCAATGAAATAAGTTGGCTTTTCGCAAAGAAACGATTCGGTCAGTTCACCTGACTAACGTTTTGATTGTTAATGGTTGTGCTGAAAACAGAAATCAGCTCAAACTTTCATATATATTTTTTTATATATTATATGAACATATAAGTATTGGTAGAAAAGGAGCACCGAATACGTATGCGACACACAAGTCACACGATTTATGCGTGGGCTGTGATACTGCCCGCATGCCCAGACAGAAACAGGTGGTTTTCTTAGGGGGCCATACCCGGAGCCTTCGACGTAAAGTCTAATCCACAAGGCATTGGAGCAACGTCATGGTAGCCAGTGACCAACGATCGATTCATACGCCATTTGTTCCTTCAGGTTACTAGAGCCAATGTGCACCATTGGTTAGGGGTCCGGGTTTTCCAACTCCCGGTTAAAGAGCTAAATATTCGTTATTCTTCTTCACAATTTCGTAAACAACGCCCCCGCCGTGAGAAGGCAGTGAGTTGGAATTTCCTGACAGTGGCTGTATACGCATGGCATGTGGGAGCACTTCAAGAGAGAGAACTAACTCTCCTCACCCTCGGCCGTACCAGGGCAGAGAGCTGTGATCCCATGTATTTATTTTACCACATGAATATTGATACAAGGGGGCTTTAATACTAATATATTAGGAAAACACCACCAAACTTCAGATAGATGGGCAATGATTTCCTTCGCTATGAGGGAACATAATTAATCTAAGTTTGACTATAAACTTAATTCTAGCTTCAAGTTTATATGAAGCAGCTTTTTAAAAACTCATTTTACTTTTATTATACCCAAAGGTTGGATCAAACTTATTTACTTGAACATAACTTCTTAATGATCATTGAAAATTATAATGGGCATATACGAATTCACTTAAAACGTTTTGGCCAACTGTCATAAATATAATTGGAATCAGAACGAAAAGGTTAAATGATCAGATACTTTAAAATGACCTGAAATTCACCGGAAAAATATCGGGAATATTTAGTGTTAGTTAAATAACCTTCATAAGAAACCCATTGTCTTGAAAACGTATGTAAAAGCTAAACAACAAGAATGAACACTTTTAAAGAGGATCGGGCTACATGACAGCAATCATAGATGTTACAGTGCTTTTAATGGTAAGTAAAACCTTTGCATATTACTGTCCATCAGTCTCAAATTTAATACAATTCATCAGTATAGGATTGTGGAGATTATTAAGTTTTTGACTGAGATCATAAACCAAATGATGTTAGATCACCATTGAAAACCTGGAAGCACTGTGAGACTCCTCCCGCTCACGGGATTCTAACCCAGGGCCTTCGGTCTCGCACGCAAACGCTTAACCTCTAGACCACTAAGATGGCCGGCATCCAACGGTATTAATGTCTAACATTAGCCAATCCAAGAAATTGCGCGACCATCTCCCATTGTACTTAGGTAGATACCTGCCTCTACCTGACATACATTAGCTCCACTGGTCAAGTCTCACAATAGGATGAAACGACCGTCCAGTGCTTCCAGATTTTCAATGGTGGTCTAACACCAATCGGTTCATGATCTCAATCAAAAACTTAATACAATTCAGTCAGCTGTTCACAATAGTTTGTTGACTCCAATCGCGGATCTATTCAGGATTACAGGGTTATGTTTTCGACAGATTACAAGTAATAATACTAATTACGTATACGAACAACAGAATATATTACAAAAGACTTTAAAAGAAGACTATTGGATTCTCTAAAAAGAAAAAAGGAGGATAAAAAACAAACAATCAAACCAAACCAAATCAAAACTAATCAAGTTAAAGATAAATCAATTATTTTCTGTTACAAAAAAAACGACATTCGAAGCATTTAATAATGAATAAAGATATTTTAATATGGAATAGTTCGATGAACAAAATACATTAGATTAAATGGAACAAGACTAGAAAATATAGAAGTTTTCAAAAGAAAAAAAATCTTAACATGCTGAAAATACAAATATAAAGTGGATAGTGATAAAGAAAACAATCTTTTCTAGTTTTTCACTTATTTTGTCATTTCGGAGGTGATTGATTCAGGATTATTATTATTGTTGTTACAAAGGGACATGATTAAATAGATAGGAGACAGATTCACCATTATGTGTTCGACGAATAGCTTCAGCCAACATAGTGCTTACATCAATACACTGAAGAGAAGAACAAAAGAAAAAATAAGTGTTTCCGTAAATAAAAAGAGATTGATTTCAGACAAATTATACCTTACATTGATTATCGATTTTATAGAACAGAACAAATTATTGAGGATTGCAAAAAGTCACCTCACATTTAAGCTATTAATCATGGAGTTTTAACAGTTGCATAGTCTCACTATTATTAGACACCTACTCTATGTCACCATTTTTGTTCTTAAGTGAAGTGTAGTGTAGTAGTACTACTACCCCAACTATGCGAGACTTTGCATTGTTTGTCTGTTACTGAACCTTAACTTTTGACATTAGATTAAGAATTCGACTTGTCTTGTGTTCACTCATTAACTTTCACTAAATAAATTTAACTTACATCCTTATACACAAACATTAATTAGGTTGTCAGTCGCTTTTTTTTATATTCATGGGAATATTCGTATTCCTAACCTTTTGATAAAATGATGGACTGCTCAAACGTTTGCACTACCTATTTTTCAACTGTATAAATATTGCAATAAGATTTCTGACTGAGATCATGAACCGATTGATGTTAGACCACCATAGAAAACATGGAAGCACTGGATGACTGTTTTGTCCTATTTTGGGACTCCTCAGCAGTGTGCATCCACGATCCCGCTCGCAGGATTCGAACCCAGGGCCTTCAGTCTCGCGCACGAACGCCTAACCTCTAGACCACAGAGCCGGGATCCCACAATAGGACGAAACGGCCGTCCAGTGCTTCCAGATTTTCAATGGTGGTCTAACACTAATCGGTTCATGATCTCAATTAAAAAACTTATTGATCTCCGAAACCCTATACTAATAAAATTTCTCATTTTCAATTTGTTAGGAAGGAATAACTATGAATTCAAATTATGTGAATTCGCACATTATTAAGAAAGGCTTACAAAGTATTACGTTGCTAAGCACTTGAAATTTCAAAGCGAAACACGGTACTTGTTGGTATTTTATTTCTCATTTGTCTACCCTTCCAAGGAAAAAACTATACGAATACATTGGAATTCATGCAGTTAATCAACTAGTTCGTTAAAATCCCAATACCTTAGTGTTGATTTCAGAATTTCCTTACCTGAATTTTAGGAGCTTTCCGCATATTTTCTTCTTGTGGCAAAGTATTTGTTACAACGACAGCTTCGAAAGCTGACTTATTAATTCGCTCCAAAGCTGGGCCTGAAAATATACCATGAGTGCAGATAGCGTAAACACGCTCAGCGCCAGCTTCAATCAATCTGTAATTTTAGAAACAACAAATATTATAAATATCAAGAGACAGAAAACATAAGGTTTAACAGTAGCAATCAATAATAAAGGATGTATTCACTCATGAGAGTAGTATAGCTGAATTTCATAAAGTGAATGTCAATAACAGTCTAATTTAGGAGGAATCTGTATGGCGATTCTCAAGTCACACTGCTATTAGTGCTTACAATGTCACAATTTCCCAAGAACACATGATTTAAACTGCCACATTTTCAAATAAAGTAAAAGATACTCGGAAACGGAAGACAGTCATTTTTGTGTCGTTCTTATATGGCATCATATTAGCTACTTGCGGTTGGAGTCGTTACAAAACGTCTAATAAAAAATAATTAGGAAGATTGTCAACTAACTATGTATTTTACTATGTAGTTACAAACCTTTTGTTTTGCAAACTCATTTAACTAGTACAAATCTAAGTACTTAGCTTTGAGCGACAATTAAGGTGTGAAGGTTACTAATATCCGGGTGTCCAAATCGAAGTAGACAGCGTGGGATTCGAACCTGTAACCAAAGGACCAGAAGTCAAAAGGGATGACTACTAGGCCACCACAACTACTTTGGAATAATCGGTAATAATAACATATGACAGATGAATTGGAATGTCTTGATCTCAACGGTCAGAATCCCGAGTGCCATTTAAGCAGACGCAGCTAAAAACAGTATTAGTTTGTTTAATGAAGTGCTCAAGTGGATAAGTTGTATCTGAATTTCGGACAGTTTTGGCAAAAAAGCTGACACCCCAAAAGTAAGAAAACCGGGCAATTCGCAGGCTAAATAGTATTTAAGTGAGTACATAAATTTGGGTTAACATGAAGTGTTGTACATTATTTCCTTCTTGACTGAACACAGCATTAATCACCAAACCTCTCAGCAAAATTACCATTCTTATTTTATAAATATTATTATCCTCAAATGATAGTTATCTTATTTAGTTACAGCCAGATAAACCATTCATGGATGTCAATAGTAAACAAAGAGAGTACAAGAACTCAGTTTTTGCTGTGAACTAGTTTAGCCTAACTTTTTTTGTTTTCGAAGCAATATTATCTTACTTCAATGAACCAAAATAATAACATCGAATCCGTAGTATACAAATACCAGTCATAACACACTAGTTTCAGAGTTGATGGTATTATCAAGAAGGAATAAAATAAAGTTCCAAAATACAACCTTTTTGCTGTTGAATGTGTTCAAACCACTGAAATTTCGCTAAATTATTCTAAATTCATTGGAATTCTATTCCCACGACAACAAGAATTCTTTTTAGATAACCAATGTTCGGTTTCAGTGACTCTAATATTATTGCAATTTATGAACAGAACATTAGGCGCTTAAGTTAGGAAATAAAGATCAGTCTACATACCATAGAAATATACACAGAATGAAAAACGAATACTTAAGGTGGTGGCGGAAATAGATTTAAGTGTAACAAAGTGGACACATCACGAAGGCATAACACTGGTAACACCGTATATAAATTAATTAGATGAGTTTACCAGGAAAAATATTTAAAATAAAATTGTGTACTTGTCTGCCGCAGTGCATATCGTTCCACATGTATCTGCCATATCATCAACCAGGATAGCGACACGGTTATTTACATCTCCAACAAGAACCATACGATCCACTTCGTTTGCACGTTTCCGTTCTTTGTGAATCAAGGCAAAATCAACATTTAACTGATCCGCGATTGAAGTTACTCTGAAAAAGAATCAAAGAATAAAATGAAAATAAAAAAGAGTGGACTGAGAAAATCAAACCGATTGAATAAAATACCCACAAATTATGTAGGCAAGAAATAATAAAAGGTGGGTCTTGAAGTTAGTATGACCATTCAAGTGTTAATTGTCTGAGGTACCGGGAAGAAGCTTAGTCAGCCATTTGATTTTATGGGTAAGATTCCTAAAACAGTGCCATCGATTAATTGGATGAAACTGGGCTCTGAGATTACCAGTTGGTGAACAGAGTATTTTGACCTTTACTGACCTCAGTATAATTGATATAAACATGCAAATTACCCTGTCTATTAATTACTACCTCTCACATTCACAGCCACATTTGGCTAAATCCTGTACAAATGTTGTTTCATATTTTATGGTACGATGTAGTCTGTCTAGTTGGTATATAAACCCAGTGTTTGAAATACATGATTAATATCGCAGAGGTCGAGATTGGTGTTCTGAACTTAACAGGCTGGGTTAGGCGGTAAGCAGGACCGATAAGGACTCTAAGCTGCTCGTACAGGTTTTATGCGTCATTGGTCCGGTCGATAATTCACTGTTCTGTAATTGGCTGTATCATTACGTTATACATTAACAGAGCACACAGGCCACAAGTTATAACACAAATGATTTCTACCATAAAAATAATGCGTATTTTTGCGCGCATGTGTGCTAGAACTCACTAGTTTTAGTGTGGTTAGAAGTAGTTAAGACGTCTGAGTACCTTGATAGACGTCTGGTGTGACAGATTAGGTTCGTGTGTAGTGGGAGCAATAGCAGTTTATTCAAATTAGGGGTAACTTCGAAGTAGTTGCGGAGTTAGTCTGTCCACGGAAACGTAGGCATCAGTAAGTAATCCTAACATCGAGGAGCATACGATCAGAAATGTTGATAATTCCGTATGTTAACGCCTTGAGACATTGAGTTGGAGAGCTTTGTCAGATTTTAACCATTTTATTTTAGTGGTTTTCATCCTTCTTAACTCTGAAGCCGAGTGGAATAAAGAGGTGATCGTTTCAACTGGATATATCACATATGAAAACTTATGCAGTGGTATGACTTACTAAAATAAAAGTTGTTTAAATCCCAAAATAAAGTGAACATTAGCCTACTTATAAACAGGCTATATGAACCACATCATTGACAACAAATTGCTAAAGGATGCTGTTATATTAGTGGTTATTATTGTCAGCATAAACTGAGAAAAATTATAAACTGAAATTTTATCAGATGTGTTTGTTTACTCAGACCGCCATGTATGAATCCCTTGTAAGAACAGAAACAATACGAGTGTGTTTGTATTCAAGATATTTAGCTTAGAACTGATATGTTTAAGATGATCTTTTGTGTGTAGATAGTTTGACTTGACGAAACTATGGCAGAAGACTCTTTGTGTTGACATATAGGATTTTCTGGTGGTAGTCATGACATGAACTTCTTTTCACTACGGGGACTGTGAGAAGTTAGACTTGACTTCTTACTTATTTACGCCTGTTGCCCCTCGTGGAGCATGAGCTACAAACCAGAGATCTTCAGTTCTTTCTATCTTGGGTAGTCCTTTCCCGTTGTTCCCAAGTTCTTTTCATTCTTTTGATGTCTGCTTCCAATTCCTGGAACAATATGTTCTCTGATTTTTCTCTTCTTTTGCCACCAGGATTCTAAGTTGGGGCTTGCCTCGCGATGAATTTAGGTTATTCCCGCAATGCACGTCCTATCCATCTCCAGCGTCCTATTGTGATTTCCTGCTCAGCTGGAAGCCAGTATGGGCTCTACCAGGGTAGACCAATGCTGATAGTATCTGGTCAACGGATATGGAATATTTTGTGTGTTTGTAAACACCTGTATCTTTTTTATGGTGGTTGTAGTAGTTTTCCAAGTTTCAGCTCTATACAATAGAACTGTTTTCATGCTTATATTACAAATCTTAACTTTGGTGTTCGCTGAAAGTCCTTTTGAGTTTTAAATCTCCTTTACTGTCCTTGTACTGCTAATCCGTGCCCATGCGTCTGCACTAGATCCCCTCTATTGACTAATGATACCGTCAAGGCACGTAAAAGCTTTCGCTTCCTCAGGCGCTGGCTTTCGAGTGTTGTTTTGTGATATATTTTAGGATCTTGCCATTTCCTTTGTCAATATTGAGGCCTACTACTGCTGAAACTGATGATACACTGACAGTCCTTGTCTGGAATTTGTGGTTCGTATAAAATCGAACAGCCAAGTCATTTGTGAAGTCAAAATTGAGACTGGTTTCTGAGTATTTCACACATAACTTGGAGATTACTAATAACTTCAATAGTTTGAGAAGCCAATCAATACATTACACTATTTTTAAGCAGCCGTCTTTATCCCATTAAATCTCACTTTTAAAGGCAGTCAATAACTTTATCGGAAGTTGGGTATTAAAAATTGTTGTCTACCAGAAGTTTGAAAGATAAAGTGGATTGGTTTGTTTAGATATCTACACTACATCATTATTAACTCACCTAGTTTTCTCTATCTCTAACAACAATTAGAAAGAGTGTTAGACTAAGTTTATAGAAATAAATTTATCATGGTTTAGTATTAAATGCACGCAGACTACCTTTTAGCGCCGCCAGCATCTGGACTAACAATACAACAATCTTTCCATTCTGGTATATTTGTTTTGACCCATTTGATAACTGCAGGCTCAGCATACAAATTATCAACAGGGATATCGAAAAATCCTTGGATTTGACTGGCATGTAAGTCCATCGTTATGATATGATCAGCTCCGGCAACTGACAGCATATTAGCTACTAATTTTGCAGAGATAGGAGCGCGTGATTTATCCTATTTTAAGACAAAAGTAGCTAATTAGTCTCAGAAAGGTTAAGTTTGCTGAAATAAAACATTACTTTTTTACTACTCTCCCATAAAGTAAACAGTTACAGTGCTGACATTTTACATATAACAAACGTCTCTAAAAGTAATCTTGTAAATTTTTGTCTTGCTACTGAATGATTCATCACTTTCTAATGCCATCTATCAATATAATTCGTAACAAATATTCACCTTCGTTACATTGTGTATAATCTTTACAATTTCAACCACCTATGAACAAAATCTTGTTCAGTTGAAAATCAAATACACAAGCATCACTTGGAAAGAATTTTTCCCTCACTGTTTGAAATAGGCGTATGACATAACATGACTGAAATAATAAGAATAGTGAGTTTTTACTAAAGTAGAAAAAAAGGCCTTACTCGCTGAAAGTGGGCTCTTCAATGGATGTTTGAAAATACACTTTGAGTTAGTTGTAGAGCCGAATGGATCAGATGGCAAACCGACAAAACTTCAAACCATTAAAATTGTTATTCCCCTTTCGACGCTCACCTTTATTGGTGTGAACTTTGTTAAATACCTTGTGCCTAACTCCAACTTTGGTTACCCGGTCGTTCTACGAAACACACGCAATGCTACAAAGACATTTATGACAAAAACATCCCCATCACATTCATGTTTTCTACTTTCGTAGATCATGGTTCAGCAGTGAGAGTAAATGTTTCTAGTTGCTGTGCACCTAGTTTCAACCAAGCTTTACTTAAAATTGAAGTTATTACACAGATTCTGGATTAAGGTGAATAAGTCAACCTGTTTTGATTGAAGAGGGGAATTAATTATGAATAGTGGTCTTAAGTGCTGCTACAGGTAGGAGGGCAGTTATCACTTCCCGATTGCCTATCTTAATGAAGTGTTCTTCGAGAGGTAACTGAAAAAGAAATCGGGTTAGAAGTGGTCCTAGGAGCGTGACTGCAATGCCCAAAGGACAACTGCATGAAGCCGCTCACACACGATCATTTCGTGTAGTTTTCATGTTTCGGACTTGTTGAAGCCCTACTGGTTTTCCTCCCCTTATGTTTTGTTAACTTCAGCTGCGGATACGAGACTTGTTACTATAAATGCGAATTTACCATGTAACACCGGGTACTCCAAAGGTATAAACTATATGCAAGCACCAGACGAGTTTCCAACATGGCGCATCTGATTGCTTAGTACCGACGCACTCATAATTTGTGTGCAGTAAGTTAATAAGGTTGCACTACTCAGAAGGAAATGATCACAAAATTTTTTTAGTGACTGTTCTTCCCACAAACAGTTTATTTACATTTCCATAACCGAAGAATTACCAAGAATTTAAAACACTGAGCGAAAACAAGTGTCAGACCCACCTTTTTGTCTTGCCTTGCGTATGGGAAACAGGGGATGACTGCGGACACTCGGGAACTTGAAGCGATCTTACAGGCGCTAATCATTATGAGTAGTTCCATAAGGTTGTCATTGACTTCTCCGCCGCCAGTTTGTATTATATAAACGTCTTCCCCGCGGACTGACTCCTCAACCTCAACACTACAAATTTACAATTGTTAGACTTGTCGTTGATGAAATATATATATAGGACTTTACTAACCTTGTCTCCTGATTACTGAACTTTTTAGAAGTAACTTTTCCTAATCGACAGCCAATACGGTCGGCTATCTTTTGAGCCAGGTCTCGATTTGAGCTGCCAGAAAACACCTTTATGTTTGGCATTGACGTGAATCTGTTCGCTAACCTCGAGTGGCAATGTTGAAATCACCGCGCATTGAGAGTAACCTCAGTTTCGAATATCCAAACAAAACTCAATAAACATGTGACGAGCTTATTTAAATCCTTCATTTGTTCTACACCCGTATAAATGTGAGACTCCAAATTTACAATTTTGTCTAGAGAGAGTAGTCTATTCCCTCATCAGTTATGTATGAGTATATATTCTGTAGTTTGTCCATGTCTGGTAGAGTTTCCGGAACGAGTAGCTATCACAAGACCAAGATAGTGACTAGTTGGATGTGGCAAGAATTTATATGGTTGCAATCTTAGTGAGCAGACAAAAATAAACCTAACATTTAATGTATTCGATTTCCTTGTGACGACCTTGCACAAACTGACTAATTTATTTGAGCTCGCTTCTTTTTGGTTCCTCACGTTCCAGGTACTTATTGATGTCCATTGGTCGATAATCCAGCTATCGGGCCGAAGGGCCGGTGAAATGTCATTGGGCCCTAGCCAAATAATTTGGCACATATCATCTACGTTAGCGATCCACACTGGTGAGCAAGACTTCATTATGATCTCTATTATTGCATCCTACACTTATTCTTTTCCTCTTCATCGTCGCTTAAGTCCATTAGTAACTAAGATCATTCGCTGCTTTATAGTGTTGTTGGTTAGTATTTAAACTTAACTAATTAATTCACTCGATAAAACTAACCAGTCATCTACGATTATAATCAGCTGTCGTGGTTCTTGGATAAACATTAGCAGCATTCAGATGCTTCTGTGTAATATATCTGTTAAAATATCAACCTCTCGTAAGTAAAACTGCAAGGCGACACAGATGCACATCTGTTTGTAGCTTCTCCACACATACAGGCAAGACAAGACTAACTATCGATTATAAATTCACATTTTTGCTTAATCACTATCATCTATCTTTCATCAGAAACCATACATTAGAAAGCTTTTCTTAATTGACCACTGACTACCTAATTTCCAGTTGCTGAGTTCTATGGTCAGACAGGGGGTACAAATGTTAGAATTTTACGGTGAGTCTGAACTATAAACTTCCTGCAATCGTAGATTTCGTTGAGGTTGTTCATCAGGCAATACTAAGTATTTGGTTGGAATTATTTTTGGACCTATACAAATTCAGTCTACAACCTTGTGCCAAACCAAGAATTAAGTTAACAATAATTCAAATCTGAGCTAATATCTGATTTAAATCTTCATTACTTGGAAGCGAAAGTAACCCAAGCGAGCTTCATAATTGGAATAAATAATTTTGTATTATGTTTATGATGCGCAGCAACATTTCGTAGTTACTTTCACGTAGAGTAGTCTGTCACTGCCGTAAATTTCTAGATGAAGTCATGTACTTCCATGACTCGTAAGTTGATAAACTGTGAAAAAGCGTACTGACGTACGTAATATGTTACTTGAAGCTAGGTAATAAGCTCATTGCATCAGATTCTAACGAAATGGCTGGGTTTTCTGAACCTTCTAAACTTTAGTTACAATGGTAGTGACCATTCTTACCAAAATTTACCATACGCTTTGTACTTTCTATTGTCTCACACGATAAACTGCGGCTCGACATCCTTATTACAGAAGAGTCATCTTAATTCCATTTTCGGTTTACCTACATGTAATACGGATTCAGCAAATACCTAAGCGACCTTTGGGATCCTCCACGAACCCCACCATAGTCTTCGTATGTTTGCATCCACACATCTAACTATTGCACTAATAATATCCGAACGGACGTTTAGCGCAACCATCGGTATGTACAAGAACGATGTCATTCCGCTGTGACATTATGACACATTTGAACTACTACGAATACTCGACTTCGACGTCGTACTTTATTTCATGAAAGGCGAGACTATAATTTATGAACGAACCAACCAGATATAATATAACGAGCCACGAGTTTGGGCGCGTAATTCATTCATACATTTGGCTAAATAGAGTTTTGGCATTATAACTGATGTCAGTTCGTGATGAGAACTCTAAATCTAATTTTTATCTTTAACCATCAACTGTAAATGAGAGTCCTAACTGCTTTATAACTCTAATTTCGTCCTAGTTAGTTGTTCACTCCCAATGTCACTTCAGCGTCGCTCAAAGGTCGTCCATAAATTATAGTCTCACCCACAAAGCTTTTCAACATTAAAAATGAGACAATAGGAAATTCAATGCCTATGCAAAGTAAGTAAGTGGATGAATACTTGGGCTCTATTGTTTTGACATATACTTACATGTTTGAGGTTAAATCTTTACCAATCAACCTTAATTGTTAAAATCCAACACTTGGTTTTAGTACATCATTCGGCTGTACAAATACTCCTGTTCAGTTCGAGTGGTAGTCTGACGACGTAGCCGAGCGAATCTCTTGCAAACTGGAGACGAAAATGTCGCCTCTATACCAAAACTGACAGCGTTTTGCACCAATATCATTGAAACGAGCTCAAAAAAACACTCTTGGTTTATTTTGCTTTGTTCGGTATTTTTTCGGTCCAGTTATTGACCTTATATACGGCACTCGCCGTTTGTCGTCTTGGTGTCACCATTACTTCTGATCTGTAGTCTACGACCCATACTGATGGTAACAGAAATCATAAGTTCTGCAAACTCTGACTATAAAGTGGTCAGTAACTGTGCCTTTGCACTTTCAGTTAACCTGCTCAATAAAGCTATAAATAAAATTCGACATTTTCGAACAGTGAACTGTAAAGTACACATTGACTTTCTACACAGAAGTTGCTCACATTGGCACCAATGGATAATACACTTGTTATGACCTTGATTCGCTTTTACCCCGTCGATACTTTGTTATGACTTGACCTTGATCTGTCTAGTCTAGATTATGACCTTGGCGCGATATGCTGAGCGGCTTAACCTTGAGTCTAGCACGCGTGAGTTCGAGATGGGGTAGAGAGAAAACTATCCTAGAACCTGATTGGTTGGCAAGCACGCAAGTGAGAGAAGACAAGACAGTTGGAACACTCTGAATTCTCTGAATTCGGATTGGTGCAAAAATGTACATGAGTAAATAAGTGAATATACTGACCACAACGTACGATAATTCGGAAAAATACAATTATGCCCGAAACTGGGAATTAGGGTAGAAAATAAGATGCAAAATGTTATGTCTGAATTACAATATTTTCGGAACAAAAAGGTATGGCAGTGAATGTTACATAGAACGAAAGCTCATGTTATGTAGAATAAAATAGGGACAAAAATCAATATAAGTGTCTTACAAGGGTTGAATGAAACGAAATAACGTCCCAAGAAAATAGCTTTCGTAGTTGTCTGGGCTTCTTATTTCCCCGTTCACAACAACACTTATCTTACTACTACTGTATAATCATTATTCTTGCGGCAAACTGAACGTTGCTTATCTGGCGAATCCACCCACTTGTCAACACAATGTGTTTCGATACTGCTTGACAGAAATTTAAGATGTTTTAGTTTTTTCCACCATTGCCATTGTTAGTTGCTTGACATTCAACCAACGCGTAAGTCGTACTTTTGAGCACATCGACATATCTAACGTTTCCAGATTCATCATCACTCTCTATTTTCCGATCAGTTGTTGACAACGTCTTTCCATTTGTCTTACAGCTTAAAAATATCCAGAAAATTCTCATTCATCTTTTGGCAACCTTTGGCGAGTGATTACTCCCAACGTGTCTGGCACCGATTTAAACGGCCGTTGAATTTGGCGGGGGAGTATGGTAGGGCCAGTGAAATATCATTTGACTTTAGCCAAATCACTTGGCAGTCTGCTGCTGAGTGGCAAACAGTTCACTGACCCAGGTCAAGGTCAAGGACGACCAACGCGCATCAGTCAGTTGCATGCCATGAACTGACCCATGCGGTGGCAGAAGCAATTTCTTCTTTCAAGTAAAAAAATAAAAGTTTTTTTTGAAGACAGACGGTTGATTAACCCCTGATACCCAACTATCTAGTTGATGGAGCAAATTAAATGAAATTTATAAAATAAACGAGTAATATACGTTTATTTACAGCTTGGCATTAACATAAAGTCAGTACTGAACTTAATGAAGGAATTTATCCCTTCAGAAAGGTTACTGGGTGTATTATGCTTGCTTATTAGAGAAAATAGATTTATGAATACCACTGTCGGTACAGGTGATAATCCCCGGAATTTTCAAAATGGCATCGCAACTAGTGGTTAGAGACTTTGAATTGCACGTCTGAAGATCGTTTAAAAGGGCACAGATGCATCCATTCTTGCTCTAGATTCTAAGCTTTTGAACTCCCAATTATTTCTTCTAACTTCGCTTATTAACATTTTCTTGAATTGTATCTTTGGTGCCTAGTTTTCTAGTGTTATCATTGATACTAAATCCACCTGTAGCTGTTCTAGAGTTACTGAAGGTCCCAAGCCCGGGTGAAAAACGAGGGTTGGACGCAGGCTCGGCAACCCTATCCTGTAGGAAAAGTCTTGCTAAAAAACCGTCAACGAGATTAAACGAAATATTACCACAGATACTGTTGCTGCCTCTACTATTTTTGGATTTGGTCTGAAAATTGCATCTTTCTGTGGAAAATGAGTATGACAACTTGAACTGATGCACATGTGTACCAGGTTCTACGCTAAAACTGACTGACTGATAATTTTTACCATTTAAAACACTTTACATATAAACGGAATGAACAAAATCTAATTTACAACTCTTCTTGACTAACATTAACATATAAATAAGAATATATCTCCAGAAATTTAGGAATATTTTGATTCTCTTAGAGTCTTTGAGGAATGTACAGAAATTGAACAATATTAGGCACAATCCGGACCTCTGTAGACCCAGTTAAAACATGGTCTTCAAGATTCTGTTCCCAGTTCGAATTACTCAGATTAATGTCATAATTAAAACCAAACAAAGTTGCAGAATTTATTTCATCATCCGATTCGTACTTCACCTAAAACTTAGAATATTTAAGGATAGTATTATGATAAATGTTGTTCTATAATCCTTGATAATTTGACCTTGTTACAGATCATCTTAACCTATAAAATAGTAATAACTACTGCATACTACATAATCATCTGAATACTAAGTGAAATTGACAATAGTTGTGATTTCGGAATGGAAAGTTTTTCCACCGTTGGATGCCGGCCATCTCAATGGTCTAGAGGTTAAGCGTTCGCGTGCGAAGTTGATACGTCCTGGATTTGATTCCTGCGAGGCGGGATCGTGGATGAGAACTGCTGAGAAATCCCATACTAGAACGAAACGGCCGTCCAGTGTTTTCAGGTTTTCCATGGTGGTCAAGCTTCAAATGACCATACTATCCACAAAAACTCATTTCTTAGAATAAATATTTTCTATACTCAGTTACATCTTACTTCACTTTTTTTTATACCTTAAATGCCCTTGAAAGGAATTCATACACAATTTTCTGATTATCTTTTACATAATTTCAAACAATAAAAATTACTTGCTAACATGTTTTCAGTACTAACTACCTACGTAAGAACTATGTGATGTTCACTGGGGTCACACTTCTTTGTTCTGTCTGGATAAATAGACAAAACTACATTTTTAACTCATCATGATCCTTCTTTAACAGTACTTCAATATAATAAGACTTTATTTGTTTCAATGTGATATCTATCTTTGTTTATAATGCATGCAACGCAATAGGAATGTCAAGACAGTTCACAGCGGATGGATATATACCAATAAGAGACTGATCAGTTTCAGTCCTCAAAATCAATAAGAAGATTCAAACAATCAATACAAATGAATTATCATATTGTTTGTATCAAATGAATATGAATTATGTTTAACATTAAATGTTATACTTATTAAATTAAAAGTATATGTACATCCCATTACATTTGATAACTGATTTTAACTATATTTTGTTTAGAGGAAGACCAAAGAACATATTACATCCGAGAAATGGAAGAAGACATGAGAAGAATGAACAAACATTGGATAGAACTAGAAATGGAGGTCCAGGATAGAGTCGGTTGGAGAATACTGGTTGGTCGCCTATGCTCCATTTGGGGAAACAAGAGTAAGTAAATAAGTAAGTAAGTAAATAATCAACTAGTTCTAATATGTTGTAATAGTTCACTTATCATTTTGTAACCTTTCTGAATAGAAAATTTCTCATTAATTCTTTCATTAGAAATAATTTGATATTGAAAAGCTTCTGTTTGTTGATTACATGATGAAGTGATTTTTAAATTAAATGGCTCAATTAATCCATTTCTGTTTGAATCTTTATTACGTAGTATTGTAGTCATTTGACGTTTCCATTTAGTTCTGAAAGAAATATATAAATATTCTATAAATAATGTAAAATATAAATAGTTAATGGAAGCATATGTTAACAGTGGATACTAATTTCAAGGAAGCTCATACAGTGTGACTTGTAAGTTACACTGTGAAATGTTTTCATATTTCGAAACATTGCTCGTATATCCTGGGACCACCGAGTAAGTAGTACAGTAGTTAGGGAACGGGTACTAGGTAAGGATGGCAAATCAATTGATGAAGTTTCACTGCTTCATCAATTGAGATGACTGGGACATGTGTTACTAATGTCCAACCAACGACTGTCCCGACGAGCGATGTATTATGGTGTAGGAGTAGGTTGGAAGGAAGCTAGGTGCGGCCAGACCAAAACATGGCACAAATTCATCAAGTCACTGATAAGTGAACTGAGCTATGTTGGTAGATGTAGACTACCTGATTGGGATCCGCGAGATGATAGAAACCGATAGTTGGAAAGCTTAAATGACATGGTTCAAAGTCGTTTGCAATGGCGCAGGTGCATCCACTCTCTGTGTTCTCTCAAATTCTAATCCTCTGGATTCTTTGTGTCCCTTAATTTTTCTCTTTCCAAATTTATTTCACTAGATTATACTCCTTGAATAACGTCTTCAAACCCTAATGTTTCTGATTACTGATTATACTTTTACTACCTCTACCACTATGAGATTCGAATCGACAATTGTGTCTGTGTGCAAATGTGATATGGCGACTTGAAGTGATGTACGTTCGTACGAAGTTCTATGTTGTTGCTGACTGACTGACTGACTGACTGACTGGAATAATAGATTTCTCACAGAAATTGCATTGAGACAGTGTCAACATTTCACCTGGCAAACTGATCCAAGATTCCTTAAGATAGCAATCAAAATTATCAAAGCTAAATGAAGTAAAAAAATTCTATTACTATGAATTTTCATAGTAGTAAATTATTTGACTTCATAATGACTGAATTCAGAATAAATTATTAGAATTTCAGTGGTTGATATCATGAATCGATTGAAGCTAGACCTTCATGGAAAACTTTGAGGAACTGGACGGCCGTTTCGTCTTATTGTGGGAATTCACGATCCCACCTCGCGAGATTCGAACCTAGAACCTATCATTCTCGCCCACGACCGCTCAACCATTAGACTACTGAGCCGGCATCCAACAGACTCATGATCTCAACTATTGAAATTACTATAATATCCACAAAAAAATACCCCTTCTGATACTAAATTATAAGACACGACACTATTCATTGTTTGTACACTTTAAAAAAATTCATTTCTCCTATATGAAAGCAGCTGGATGGAATAGATGCTGTTTAAAATCGAGTCGTTTTTATCTGAGCATTATATGCCTGTTAACAGTGGAGTGAAACTGTTTTAATTCCTAATATTAGTTGGATAATAGGAAGTATACCTAATGCAATAATAGATATAACAAGATTAAACAGACTGACCGGTGATATGCAAAAAAATACTTCAAAGATAACAATTGCACCTGAGAAGGAGTTGTGAAGACAGAACTTTGTAAGATAACGCTTATATATCACGGAAACATAATGAAATTTGTAAACAACGGCGAATATGTTACTAACTTACTTATGCCTGTTACTCCTCATGGAGGAGCATAGGCCACTCACCAGCACTCTCCATCCAACCCTGTTCTGGGTAATCCTTTCCAGCTCTTTCCAGTTTTCATTCATCCTTTTCATATCTGCTCCTATTTCCCTATGTAATGTGTTCTTTGGCCTTCGACTTTTCCGCTACCCTTCAGCATTCCAAGTTGGAGATTGTCTCGTGATGCAGTTTCGTGATTTCCGTAATGTATGTCCTATCCAATTCCATCGTCTTTTCCTGATTTTCTCTTCAGTTAGAAGCTGGTTTGTTCTTTGCCACAGTAGGCTGATGCTGATGGTATCCGGATAATGGATGTTGGCTATCTTGCGTAGACAACTATTTATAAATACTTGCACCTTCTCGATGATGGTTATAGTTCTCTACTTTTCAGATCCGTACATTGGGACTGCCATGACGATCGTATTGAAGATTGTGATTGTGATATTGGTTGAAAGTTGTTTTGAGTTCCATATGTTCTCCAATTGTAGGGATGCTGTCCTTGTTTTGCCAATCCTCACCTCTAAGTCTGCCTCCGATCCTCCTTGTTCATCGATGATGCTTTCCAGGTACGCGAAAGATCCCACATTTTCCAGAGTTTCTCCATCAAATGTGATTGAGTTGGTGTTCTTCATGTCGTATGTGAGGATCTTGCTTTTCCCTTTGTGTATGTTGAGGCCTACTGATACAGAGGCTGCTGCTAGACTAGTTGAACAGCTTACATGTAGTATTTTACAACAGAGTAATCGATAAGAATAGGTGACATTTACTTGGGATCGTCACTTCATAGTGTCAACAAAAACACAAGGTCATAATTACAACTGATTCTGTGGTAAAACCAACAGATCATAGTAATAATTTGGGCGAAACCTCAAAAACGTATTTAATTAGTGTTCTCAATCAAAAGCAGATTGTTATATACCACAATGAAATTGGTAACCAAGATGAAGATGATATTTGACGATAAAACCAGCTAGACCATAATTTATGAATGAACCAATCAGATTGAGGATAACGGGTCTTAGATTTTGACGCGAAACTCCTTCACCCATTTGTCTAAGTAAAGTCTTGGCATTATAGCTGATGTCAGTTCGTGATGAAAACCCTAAATCTAATTCCCAACCTTAATCATCAACTGTAAATCATAATTCAAATTCCTCACACTGGTTTATAACCTTCAGTTGGTTCTCGTTATTAGGTGAACACTCTCAAGGTTACCTTGGCGTCGCTCAAATGTCGTGCATAAATTATGGTCTCGCCCTAATTTCTATGTGATAACCTTAACCTGTGAATATTTTATATAATTTTATTGTAATCCTAACTAGGAATTGATATCAGCTAAAGAACCATTGAAAACCAAGTATTCTACGTTTGAAACTCCTCATTATTGTGCTCACTAACTTTATATGGAACGAAATACATTACAAGAGTACCGGACAAGTACAATTTCCTCAGTCCATCTAGTTGAAATTCGATATTTCAACTTCGTCGTTGATTGATTTCAACGATTTTGATCAGTAAAACAATAAAGATTTAATTTGATACTAATCACCATTTCACACTGCCTTATGTTACAATGAGCCACATGAATAATATTCAAGAAACATTTGGGGTCTAAATCTAGAGTTGCTATTATTATTATTATTTGTCAAACATACAGATTTTCTTATCACAATTTTAATCAATCAAAAAGTGTAATAGAATAGTGAATTAATAATTTTTTCAATAGTTAAGATCATGAGTCAATTGATGCGAGACCACCATGAAAAACCTGGAAGCACTGGACGACCGTTTCGTCTTATTTTTGGACTCTTCAGTAGTGAGTATTCACGACCTCGCTGCACGGGATTCGAACCCACGATTTATCAGTCTGGCGCACGAGCGCTTAATCACTAGACCACTGAGCCAGCATCCAATAGTGTTAATGTCTAACTTCAACTAATCCACAAAATTAAGCCACCGTCCTCCATTGCCATCAGTGAGTTACTACCTGATTGATCTAACAACAGAATGAGTTGACCAATAAGATTGGGTCGTTTTAACTATCAGTGAAAGTACAAAATATTAATTATATTATATTCACATGATGTTGTTTACCTATATCTTCCGATTGTTATTTAGGACTGCAATTGATCAGTCTCTTTTTGGTATATGTACATCCTGTGCGAATTGTCTCCATATTTTCTGAAGTTACAAACGCTCGTCTTGGATTCCATTGTTATCCACTATCCATCTTTGCATATAATGCTTGTGTGAATTAAGTCAATATCGAGGCAATACGCAGAGAATGCGCATATGCCAATAAGAAACTGATAAATTACTGTCATAAATAACATTGGGAAGATACAAGTAAATAACACCAAGTGAATATAACTTCACACCAATGCACAAGCAAGTGGCTATAGGGACTCAAAAGCTAAGTGGATAACGCGATGGCGTTTGAAGTAAACGGTAGTGGATTCGAGTGCTAAAGTGAACATCAACTCTGAGATGCAGGTACACCCAGTTGAGAAGTCTTAAATAGAACGAGACGGGCATCCTGGATTCCACTGCTAGCGACTATCCATCTTTGCTTATTAATTATATTATATTGGTAACTTGACATTATTAAATTAATTTTAGAAATGGGGATTAAATACAGATCCAGGTTCAGGGTTTCCTGTTGACTACCTCCAACCACCATCTTATCACACTCTGATTTCCTTAAAAACATGGTTTCCAACGAAAGTAAAATCTAGATCAATCACTTTGTTTTATTAATTTTTAAACTGTTTCAGTTATACTAGAACACTTTCCTGAATTGAATAACCTTGGTATTAACCAATAATGAATAATTCATAATTAAACCAATCTAATATTATTTATATAACCTACAATACAAAGATGTAGATGATATCTACCTACCTGAATTTTTCATTAATCTACTTTACTACTTTATTTCAATTAACAGAAAGGTAAAACAATGAATTCCAAGCCTGTAAACTTTCATTCATAATCAATCCATGGATTGGTAGGTATTTCACTAACTTTCATGATGACCCCCCTATCTCAGTTGATATCAATTATGTGACTACTGCAAATCAAGTAAATTTGAGTAGGGACTTCATCTTAGTTACATATCTCACAACAATGTATTACCTTGTCGAGACAAGACTCATTACCTTCGTGTCTTTATTATTTAAGTAAGTAGTTAGAAACCAACCCTTTTTCTCCAAACTATATATCCAATTATTACTAATCGTCTCTAAAATACCCATGTAGATACAAAAATAAAGGTGATAATCATAAAGAGGATAATTAAAGTTAATAGATAGTTCTAGAAATTAACTACTTACCGTCTGTTTTGATACCATGTCTTTATTTGTGCTTCTGATAAACCTAAATGTGCAGCTAATTCAGCACGTTCTAAAACACTCAAATATCTTTGACATAAAAAACTTTGTTCTAAACAGAATAATTGAGATTGAGTAAAAGCAGTACGTTTTCGTCGATATGCTTGTTGTTGCCGTTGATGTTCATAATGATGATCATGATCATGATCATTTTGACGAGTATAATAATCCGGATATTTAGATGTGTGGTGTTCAATTTCATTTAACTGTTTCAGATTATACTTTGAATATATTAAAGATTCATTCAGTGAATTATTGTCATCTACTGTATGGATGTTCAAACTGTAGTCTGAATGATATTGATTAGTGAAAGGTTCTATTTCATCATTTTGATTTATATCTGGCATAGAATTGATTGAAATATTAAACGAATTAGCATAAAACGATTATTATAATTCTATTAAAAGTTCATAATTAAACATATTTGACAACTTTTAATCACTTACTAACAGAAATGAGTATAGAAATGATTGTAACCATCTATCGATGGGAGTGTAGTGAATGAGAACACAAGTGTGAACTATTCAAATGAGTTTGAACAGAATCTCTTATTAAAATCTGAAAATCATACAGTAACTACTTAATTTGTAAAATATCATTTAATTGTCTCAAACTTCACTGTTTCTTCACTTCCATACCAGTTGCTTTTGAGATGATGATGAAGATTTTTAGCTCATGTGAATGATTTTGATGAGCTTTTGTTCTCTAATTTAGTTCGAATACTTCACTTCTACCTGAAGTTTATGTTGATGATGTTGTTTAGAAGAACGATGAAAGCTCTACAATCAAACCATCCAGCTCAGAGAACAAAACTTCATCAAAACCAATTGATTTCTGTTCCTGTTCTTTCCTTCTCAATCTTCTTGAGCTTCTGTTGCCAGACATTCTATTCCTGACTAGTATTATACACTACTTATGTCGATGTATGTAGGACATACCACAATATTATTTAGGGTATGGAAACCAAACTCTAGACACTTACAGTACGGTTATTTGAATTCTTATTGAAATATATTACTGAATATATAACCAATAAAATACTAGCTTAGTAAATTACTTTATTATTGTTAGCTTTATTCAGTATTATATTTTTGGTACAATATAGAATTCTCAGCTCAAAATATTTCAACAAGTTTCTGTATCTTACTTCTTGGTCGATCCTGACAATAAATACTGAATGATCGCCAGGTAGAAGTTAGCAGTCCAGTCAATCGACACCTAAATAATTTACATTCTTTTCTCTGCATATTCCCAGTTAGCTTTTCTATAAACTCACTTGACGTTGTTTACATGAATTTTTCCATTGATGTTTTAGGACTGCAATTTATCAGTCTCTTGTTGGAATATGTGCATCCTGTGAGGATCGCCTCGATATTGACTTAAGTCACAACATAATAAGCAAAGATGGATAGTGATCGGCATTGGAATCCAGTTTGAAGAGCATTTCGTCCCATTCGGGACTCGTCAGTTGGATGTGCCTGCATCTCAGAGTTTATGTTAACCCTGAGACTAGAACCCAGTGCCGTTAGTTTCAAACGCCATCGCGTTATCCACTTAGCTACTGAATACAGATATTTTTCTTTTCGATGTTGAATTAAGATGATAGTCAATTATGTATCATAAAATTTTCCAAAATTACTCTGATTATTAGTGTAATTTGTAATGATTTGGATTATACTGTTGCTAATATTTTGACTGGATTTTAGCCAGTTTTAGTTGAAATATGTGTGCCCTGTGGGGATTCGTTCGATATTAGACATTATGACACAGGTTTATGTCGAATAGATAAAATGTAGCTAGGAGTAGAATTGAGAATGAGTATTTCGTCCCTTTTGGTACTGGTCAGTTGAATGTGCCTGAATCACATAGTTGATGTACACTCCACGACTAAGAATCAGTACTTTTGCTTTAAACGTCGACACGATATTAAAGTGATTTTGAAGTGATTATAAACTCTGAGATACAGGTACATCCATCTGACCAGTCCCAAATAAGAGATACGCATTCTGAATTCCACTTCTAGCTACATTCCATTTATTCTATATAATCTGAATACTATTTCCAGTCGTATCTAAATTATCTAGAAGTTCTCATGTCACATGTTTAGGTAAACATTCAATGTATAAGAATGTCTATGAAACAATTCCTCATTGTTTATTTCGTCAGTAATTTAATAAAGTCTTATACGAACCTGGTACCACTCAGATCTTTCGGTGGTCACTTAAGCTTTGGATCATTGAGTCGCCACCTACTAGTTAATGTTTTTAACTCTAATAATACAAAGAAATGTACGTACTTTTAAACTTATTACGTCAGGACGAATTATGTATTTAGTCACTTGAAAACCGTCATCTTGCAAGTTCTTTTCAAGAAAACGTAGCGAGTTTCCAATTTTTAGAAACATGCTTTGAGACTAATCATTACGAATGTTGAGATAAAATTTCCTTGTCTCCTGGTTATTTAAATCCAAAACTGATGGTCAATCGGTTTCTTGTTTTATGAAGGGTTTCGTATGATCCAGTCGAATAATCCCTGGATTAATTGGAATGTTTAGCATCCAAATTTTAACAAAATGAGTTACTTTTATTTATCACATAAATTGTGACAAATTAATTTATTAACTATTATTATTATTATTAGGAAAGTTGGGTAGTGGTTAACAGTGGAATCGAGGACGCCTGTTTCGTCCTATTTGAGACTCGTTAGCTGGATATACCTATATCTCAGAGTTAATGTTCATTCTGGGACTCGAATACAGTACCGTTCACTTCAAATGCCATCGAGTTATCCACTCAGCTACGGAGTTCTGATAGCCATTTGATTGTGTAATGGAGTGATCTTTGCCTAGAATACTTGTGACTTAAGGATATATCGAGGCAATCCTCACATCATGCACATTTGCCAATAAGAGACTGATCAATTGCAGTCCTAAACAACATTAGGAAGATACAAGCAAACAACATTAAATGAATTCGCATGTATTGTAGTTTGTTTGTTTTGATTTTCGACAATCGTGTAAACAAATTAAAATAGTTTAAAGGTTCATATTTCTATTCAGCCACAATGTTATATAAGTGGAACAAGTTATGAAAATCGATGAATGTTGAACAACCATTCATTAATATTCCTGCACACTCAGCTGAAGTAACAAAGGAAGTTAGCCAAATAATTGTTCGATTCATCAGATAACTTAAAAATAATTGAATTCATGAGTCAATTGAAGCTAGACCACCATGGAACACCTGGAAGCACTGGACAGTCGTTTCGTGCTAGTATGGGACTTCAGGTTTTCCATGGTGGTCTAGCTTCAATGGACTCATGAATTCATCCATTACATTACTAAAATTTTTACAACCCCCACTTCTACTAACTTAATAGTAGTTTGAAAGTTGGAGAGAGAAATTATATATCAAACATAACTGTTTAGTTGTAGTTTCAACATCTATTTCTAAACTTATAAAAAGTTTAAAATCATCTTCTCCCCCTCCGAAAAAAAGACGTTTTGAGGGTCTGAAAATCTGTGAGAAGAATTACTTTTCGATCACATTTAAGAATATTTTGAATTGACCAAACAGAATTAAATGGTCTTAACTACTGTAATTCACCATCCAGTGCAACTTTGACACATTGATTAACAAAAAAGTATATATCAGTATAGGGTTGTGGAGATTTTTGAGTTTAGATTGATATCATGAATGAAACAATGTTAGACCACCATTAAAAACCTTGGAGCACTGGACGGTCATTCCATCCTAGTATGAAACTCCTCAGCAGTGCTCATCTACTATCCACACGCGGGACTCGAACCCAGACCACTGAGCCGGTATTCAACAGGGTTATTGTCTAAATTCAACCAATCTCTGATATTATGCGACCATCCACTATTGTCTTCAGTGAGTAGCTATCTGGCAAAAGACATGGTTGAACTTCACTGGTCACAGATTCTCACTAAAACTTCAGGAAATACATCTTAAAGCCAGTCACTAGTGAGAATATGACTAGGAGTTTATGGAAATTGTAGTAATTCTAATGGTTCATGGTCCATGGAGATTCCCATACTAGAACGAAACGGCCGTCCCCTGCTCCCGGGTTTTCAATGATGATCTAGCTTAAATCGATTAGTGATATAAAGAATATCAGATTTTCTCTCAGTTAACTACACATATAAATAAATAAAAAATAGGAGCGGTTTTTGTGGATATTATAGTAATTCCAATAGTTGGGATCATGAGTCATTTAAAGCTAGACCACCATGGAAAACGTGTAAGCATTGGACAATTGTTTTGTGCTAGTATGGGATTCCTCAGCAGTGCGCATCCACGATCCCACCTCGCAAGATTCCGTCCCAGGATCTATCCATCTCGCATGCGAATGCTTAACCTTTAGATCACTGAGATAACCGGCATCCAATAGTGTTAATGTCTAACTTTAACTAATCCACGAAATTGAATGACAAATCCACAATAGAACGAAACAATCATCCAGTAGTTCTAGATATTCCATAATAGTCTAATATCAATTCGTAGACAAAAAAAAGAACTTGAACTCACTTGAATGATTAAAATGATCTGATTGTTGTAATATATTTTCAATAGAAAACAATTGAGATTTTTTATTAGTTAACATAAGATTTTCAGTATTCCTTTAGTAAAGTAAACATCCAGTTGCCTGAACTACTTGTTCAGTATATATATATATATATATATATATATATATATATATATATATATATATATATATATATATACCAAACCTTTTCTTCCTTTAATCGGTTCTCTTTTTATACAACTACTAACAATTCAATCTTTTATTTCTCATTTATATCTTTCATTACTTTATATTCTTTATAGAATGGCTTTATTTCAACCTTATTTAAGCTTTGGTAATCATTTACGCAATTCATTTCATCCAAATAACTGATGATAATAATAATAATAATAATAATAACAAACAAGGTGTCAAGGCGCACATGCGCGTGCACACACACACACAAAGAGAGAAAGAGAAAGGGGGGGGGAATAGGTGGAGAAAAAGAACACTGGTAGAATAAAGATTATAATCAAATTTTAATCGAGCACAAATATTTCTAGTCGTCGTCGCCGTAGTAGTAGTTTCTAAGTTGAACAGATTTTTCACCTACCTAATTCGGTTTTATACACACACTTGTTCATTTTATTATCTATTATGGTTATTATTAGTATTATTGTTGTTATCTATCTAATGAGCTGAATGAGTGAAAAAATAATTGGGTCTCAATACATTTTTTTTTCTTCAAAATTTAATGAATGTTCTATTTACCAGATGTTTATTGATAAGTTTCAAGAGGGGAATAGGGATGGGGGTGGGGGTAGGGGGTAGGGGGTAGGGTTGAGAAATACACATTTCCTTTTTTTTGTCATATAGTAATAATTTACCTAAGTTTCTTTTTATCTATCACTAAACACTCCTACTTAGTTCTCTGATTTCTTTTCTTTTCTTTTTTAAAACAGCACCACCCCTTTTATTCCCCACATTTTTTTCTATATACCTTTCCCTAGTTTTATTATTGTCATCAGACAAAATTTACTTAGGTTAAATTTATTATTATAAAAAGGTTAGATAAAATTATATAAACTAATCAATCACTAACCAATTAGAGTAGAATGCGTGATTGAATTTGACTATATTTTATCTGATATGATATGAGTATATGATAACACTTCAATTGTAACCAAACTGTTGTAATAAGACTAATTACCCATGAGGAAATGATAAATGAAGTAATATAGTTTGTGTTCTGTGTATATAGCTACTATATAATTCATATGTTTATCATTTGAATATATAAAATAAATCTAATAGTGTTATATTCCGATAAGGATAATGAATGGTAACTGTTGGAATCTATTTATGGACGAATATTAGATGTATATTAGTATCGTATAATTGTTAAGTAGTTAAACTATGTATATTCATGTTCCTGTTGTTATAAGATTTATTTTAAGATATGAACTATTATTATACGATTTACTATTCTTGAGTTATACCCAGCCTATTAATTACAGTTTCCCACATTCACATCTACTTTTGGTTAAGTCTTGTAAAAATGTTGTTTTGTAGTTTATGGTACGATGTAGTTTGTTTGGTTGGTATATAAACCCAGTATGTTTGAAATACATGATTCATATAGCAAAGGCTAAGATTTGCGTTCTGGACTCAATAAGCAGGAATAGATAGGAAGAAGGACTGATAAGAAAATTAGACGGCTCGTACTGCTTTATGTGTTATTGGTCCAGTCGATAATTCACTGTTATTAAATTGGCGGTAACGTTATTTTATACATTGATAAAGACACAAGGCAAAAGTTATAATAAATACTAAGAGAACATTTAACAGATTTATAAACTCACTTGATATTAATTACTTGAAAAGCAAAATTACTATATTCGGACGGCAAAATTACATTGAAAAACAGAAGCAGTATAAGCAAAAATAGACAAAGGGCAGAAGCGTAATCAAGCAAGACAGTTACGATATCATACATATGATCAAAAGATTACATAAATGATCTTAAACAAATTGAGCGCCTGCGAATTATGGAAGCGTTCTTTAATAGTGAATGTCGTTAGAAGTGTCGTGTGAGTTGAACGGATGGCTTCGTAGCTCAGTTGGTTAGAGCGTCGTGCTAATAACGCGAATGTCGAGGGTTCGATCCCCTCCGAAGCCAACTTTTCACCACCACATTCTCAGACAATCATTTCTATGCGCTCCAAATACTGACAAATAACTATCCACACCACAATCACCACCAATCAACACACAAGTGTCCAGTGTAGTGGCTGTGCTTCGTTAATTAATCACCCTCGAACCGTTATCGTATAATCTTCAACGATGTTTGAAATCAGAAGGCAAAAAGAAGCAGCTACTACAGTTTATTTAGTAGATAATTCGGACCAGACAGCAGAGAGGCTAAAATGAATGAGCAAGCGAATTACGATTGTAGCAGTAGCAAGTAGTTGTTGTAGTAGTTGTTGTAGTGAATGCGTGCAAATGTACATATATATATATGTGTAGGAAAATGGATGAGTCAGCGAATAGATTAAGCAGTTAATAATGAAGATAGCAGAATGAATATATGCGTGGGAGCTAAACAATGTTCAAGCATATGTATTTCATACAAGCATAATAATAAAGATAGTACAACAAGTTGTTATATCATGGATGAATTTGTCCATTAAATAGGTCAACAAAAGACCTTGATTGAACTAAACTCAATTGCACGTGAGTCACTATAATAGCTCCCCCCTGCAAACAAAGATATATGGAAAAATGTCTGTGTTTGCACAAATAAATAGTAAACTGAGTAGGGTAGTTACAGTCGTTTTAAAAAAAATGGTTTGTACAAAATTAAGATGAAGTTAGTGTGTGCTGTACATTTGGTTTGTGCCCGTCCGTGAGGTTATATAAAATAATAGCAATAAATAGAAGGAATGCGGTATTGCTTTACATTTTAAATAAAAATTATACGTGTAAGTGTAGGGGCACATAAGATATGTTGAGTTTTATAGCGTATAACATGAAATTAGTGATGCATGTGTATACAATGAAGTGGAAGTTATAATTAATATTTAAAATAGCAGAGGATTATTAATAGAAGATTGCAGCGACATAACGTTGGGGCCATCTTACTCTTCGACCAGACCTTGTCGTTACTGGATTCTCTTTGTTTGTGTTCGTCGATGTCGTTGATGATTGGAACTGACGTTTCGATGATTCAACGGTTTTCGCAGTATCTATATGTACTGGTTGATCGTAGGCTTCGATGAAAGCTGGTTTGACTCGGTCGATGCTAATTACATCCGTTTTTCCAGCTTTGTCTACCGTAATAGTTTTGTCGTCTCTTCTAATCACTTTAAATGGGCCATCGCAGGCCGGTTGTAGGGGACGTTGCACATTATCCCTTCTGATAAACACATGGGTACTGTCACTTAGTTGTTTGGGTATGTACACACGGCGTTGATGTTGTCTCGGAAGCGTTATCCTTAGACTACTCATATGCTACTTAAGACGCTGTACATAGTCCGCTATATCAGTTGGAACGCTTTTACCTGCGGTGAAAAACTCTCCTGGCAGACGTAGTGTGGTTCCATAAACCAATTCTGCTGGGCAGCATTCTATATCTTGTTTGATTGTTGATCTTAAGCTCAACATGACTAACGGTAGCTTGCTGGCCCAATCATTATTGCTGATGACAGCTGTAAGAGAAGCTTTAAGTTGCAGATGCAATCTCTCTACCATAGCATTCGACATCGGATGGTAGGATGTTGTGCAAATTCGTTTGATTCCGAGTAGTTCTGTGAGTTGTTGGAAGAGGCGGCTCTCGAACTGAGCTCCTCTATCGGTTGTAATATTAGTAGGTACGCCATAATGGGAAATCCAATGCTTTACTAGGGTTTTTGCGATAGTTTCGGCTGTAATATCTTTTATGGGCACAGCTACAGGCCATCGTGTGAATCTATCAATGCAAGTGAAAATGTAACTGAAGCCATTCGAAACCGGCAGTGGTCCTATAATATCGATATGTACATGCTCGAATCTGTTATCGGGATGACGGAAATGACCTACTGCGGAACTGGTGTGGCGATGTATCTTAACTCTCTGGCATTTTATACACGCTTGCGTCCAATTACGAATATCCCGATTCATACTTGGCCATACAAAACGTTCGCTGATTAGTTTGATGGTGGCCTTTATTCCGGGATGCGAAATATTGTGTATGGCTTCGAAAATGTTTCGCCTTAGAGGCTTTGGAATAAATGGTCTTGGTTGACCTGTAGAAATATCGCAGGTGATGCTTACTTCTTCCAATGGAGTTTCTTTGAGAACTAACGAGGTTGTATTGGCAGACTTTAGTCTGTTTAACTCGACGTCAATATTTTGTAATGCTGCTAACTTGTGATAATCGATTTCAGACTGGACGAGAGCGTTGACCATCGTTCTGGATAACGCGTCTGCCACTTCGTTACTATTACCTTTGATATACTGTATGTTAGACGTGAATTGGGAAATAAATTCTAATTGTCGGATCTCCCTCGGCGAGTAGTTGTCCTGTTTGGCGTTCAATGCTTTTGTGAGGGGTTTATGGTCTGTATATATTGTGAAAATGGTACCCTCGATCATATGTCGGAAATGTTTTATTGCCAAGTAAATCGCTAGGAGTTCTCTTCCGAAAGTACTATATCTTGTTTGTGTCGGATTCAGTCTTTTCGAAAAAAATGAGAGCGGTTCCCATATGCCATTTACTAATTGTTGTAAAACGGCTCCTACCGCTACGTCTGATGCATCCGTCATGATAGCTAACGGTGTTTCGCTCTTTCGTCTAGTTAGTGTCACTTCTTTATTTAGTGCTTTTTTAGCGTTCTCGAATGCTTGAATCGCGTCTGGTGATAATTGGAATGTCCGTGCGCTTCCGCGTAATGCATCTGTTAGTGGTTGCAATATTGACGCACAATTAGGGATAAATCGTCTGTAATAATTTATTAACCCGAGAAATCGGCGTAACTTTTTCCATGAGTCGGGTAGGGGATAATTCCTAATGGCGTCGACTTCTGTTGCTATTGGTGTGATGCCTTGAGAAGTTATATTGT